GCAAGTGGTGGGTGGGTTTTGTTTATGAGTGCATTGAAAAAATAATGGTATGGGACCCTGATTAATATGTGCATGCTGTCTGATCATCCAGACCCCTCTGTGTTCCTCTGGTTGCTAGAATTCCCCTTCTAAAAGGAATACAAGCCTAGTCTAGCTCCTGCTGCAATTCTTGTTTTCAGTGAGATTTGACTTGTCTGTTATGTTGGCTTGAACTCTTCAGGACAGCATTAGAGACTGTTCTGTACAGGAGGCAGAGGGGAAGATCCAGCTGTTCATACTGTTTCTCAGTGCAGCCTTGTAGAAGAGAGCAGAATAGGCAGTAGTTCTCAGCTCTGAAACTCTAGGTTCAGCTGCTTGCCCTCTCCCAACTTCTGTGTGTGTGGCTTTGGGTAGGTATTGAAGATTAGGTTAATGTAATATAAAATAGTTGCAATATTCAAGCTAGACCTTTATAAGGAAGCTGATGCATCGAAACAGTAGAGGCACATTAGTAGACGCTGTCGTTAAGATAATTAACTACAGTTAAGAGAATTAAAGACTTAACTGTAGTTAGGAGAATTAGAGAAGCGAGGGAATTAGCCCAGGCAGAAGGCCATGCTAATGTGCGTATGTATTATGTGCATAATGTGCGTGAGTCCAATATCTGACCTAATTCATAGTTAGCTTGAATTTCATGGCAAAGCAGGAACATGCACTTCAGTCACCATTTGCAGATAGTCTCCAAAAGGAGGTAATAGATCTTTCCCCTCTAAGAGGGGTGCTATTAAGGACAAAAGCATTAATGGTTTCTGAGGAGCTCACATGCTGTGATAACTGGAAAAGTAGGGGCTAAGAGAAAGGTCAGCCCAAAAATTCCAGTGTTTTTTTAGTGTAGTTTGCTCTCTCAACCCAAAAAGCTTTAATGTTTCTAACAGCCGTCTTTTCATTTCTTCTGAAGTCCAGTGTTCCATTAAAAAAAATGCAGGGCAATGTGTTCTGCCGGCTAGATGCACTGTTAGGTGCGGTCCTGAGTTTAGCCCCAGGAGGCACTGGGTGACTCTGAGACACATCTCAGAGTCATGCTTTCTTTTTAGGGAAGTGAAAGTAGTCTGATCTTTCTGCACCTGACCAGTTGGCTGTGGTAAGTGAACAGGGAAAGCTGTGTACAGCTTCTAGCCATTCCCACCAGCTGCCTCGGATTTATCAGGGAGTTTGCATAACATAGTAATTTCCCATTTGAATTATTTTCAAGCTTTTAAAACATGTCTGATGTCAAAGAACCTGTTTTTGCAGTAGGGTGGGCGTAAGAATTATTCCTGCTTGGATGGGGATCTGTAGACCCTAAGTCCATTAACAAAATCACAAAACAAAAAAAATCCCCAAACCCACCTCCCCTAAAAAGCCACAGCAAAAACAAATAAAAAACATCCCCCCGCCCCCCAAACAGGCAGTCCCATGCAGGGACTAGGATTTTTGAAAAAATCATACCTGCTCAAATTATATATTTTCCGTAATTTTTTATTTTTACAGTCCCATTTTTCTGGTAGCTTTATTTTGCGCTACCGCTATTCATCGTCTCAGCCTTTGACATCTTTTTTCCTCCTTTTCCTCCTCCTCCTCCCTTGACAAAACACTGATTGCAGTTGCTCTGTCTGGTGGTGGCTGCCTTCTAAATGCATCTCCAACTTGAACAGTAAAGAGTCAGATCTTGTAACCAATTAGCATGTCACCTTTCTGTAATTAAAGGTTTAAAAAGGTTTCTGACAACTCCTTTAATCTTTTTTGGGAGATGCTTTTGCAAATATATTATATCAAATACAATTTTTTTTCTATAATGGATAGCTGGTTCTTCTGCTTAAAAATATTCTGTTACCTTCATTTGTATTTAAGTTAGAGAAATATCTTTCTACTTGTATATGTACATATATAATATATTGTAAGTAATCTTAAAGAAATCACTTCACATCTCTTCTAATGAAATTAATGATGAAAAGATCTTATGAACACTATCTAGAGAGAGATTTCAGGAATGTTTTCTGTTCATTCTATAAATTTGTTTGACATCTTATTTGTTCCTCAGCATTAAAAAAAAGATCTTTTTTTTTTCTTCCACCTTCTTAAGAAAATCCTATTTTTTTAACCTATCTTCTGAATTTTTCCCTCTATCATTAACAGGATTTGTGTTATTAAATTAATGGTCTTGTTAATGCACTGTCTTTATTATGCTGATATTTTTCCCCCTCAGCCTCCAAGGTCTAATAGTAATGGCCTACTTAAGATGGACTAATTTAAATAATAGTGATTTAACTTCCTGACTGATTTTTTAACTATGATTTAAATTAGCAATCAGGAGGCCTTAACGTTTGCAGTGGCTCAATTGCAGTCTTGTTTTGCATTTTGAATTTTAGTTCTTTTCATAAACAAATGTTGATTCTTGTTGACCAGTTACTATTAAAAACTTTCTGGTTTGCAAGTAAATAAATCTTTAATATTAAACCTAGTACTTCTTGCTAAGCAAGATGAATGATGCATTTGTACCAGCTGATTAATCTTGTGATTTGTGTCAAGTTCTGTATAGGACGGAAGTGGAATCCAATTAAAATGAACTAAAACATAATTTAAAAATACATGTTAGTTAAATAAAAATATACTGTATAAATAGTAAATGTTTTGCTTTTTTTTTTAAAAAAAGGACATATTATTGTCTGCCTTCTAATATATGAGAGTTAATAGATTTTCATCTTCTGGTGCCTCGTTTATATGCGCAGATTAGAAAAAAGAAAATAAACTTCCTGCTTTTTTCAGCTCCCAATTGATTTCCCAGCTTTTCAGTGAACTTGAACGGGTGAATGAACTGAACTGCTGTTGTAAACTTAAATAGAGATATTCTGTGCATGTACGTAAGGATCTACAGCAGTCAAAAGCAGATTTAGCACTTAAGCGAACTGTAATTCTTGATTCCTAGCTAGCGGATTGTGCCAATATGGTGGTTAGATTTTTCTCCTTAAATTTTGGCAATAAACAGCACTACTTTAAAATGCATTTTAGAAAAAGAGCTTTAGTATGTTCTAGTAAATTTTGTCTATAGAATAGGTTGCCATCATTGCTTGAATTGTATTTTTTTAACAGATGTATATTGTCTTAAATTTAAAACAAGTATATTTTAATGTTTAAAATATTCATCCTAAAACTGAAAATCTAAATCTACAGTGCCATAGAAGAACAGTATGCTTGGAGACAGTTTATTATGCAAAAACACGTCATCGTTTGCACCTGACTTTCTGTCAAGCTGCTGCTGTGCCATTTGGTTCCTTATGCATTCACTTACGTAAAGTGAGAGTTACAGAAATATTTTAATATGTTAACACTAAGGAGTGAACTAGACCTGTGTTAACAGGGTTTTTTTTTTTTTTTTAATTTACTTTTTACACATCAACTTGGGATGTGTAAAACTTGGCAACTTGGGATGAAGCCATTGGTACGCTTTTTTCATAAAGGAGGGAAATGCAGATTTTTCTAAAATTGGTCTTTGCTCTTCAGAGGTTCGTCTGCTGGCTTACAGTGCAGTGCTCAGCTGTACCGTGAAAACTAATGACATCACAGAGTATTTCCTGTGAAAAACAGAAAAACTATGCATGTATTTATAAAGGAATGGCTTGGTTCTTCATACCAAAGGTTTACTAATGAGCAGTCTGCTTTAACGGAAGTCAGCGAATCCACTGCTTCTTTGTGACTGACATTTAATTTCTGATTTCAGAAGGACCAAGCACAATTCAGCTTAGTGCCTTTGCCAAACAGAGGACGTGCTCTCCTTCTGGAGTACATAAAAGTTTTGTTAACTGTTGTCAGCATGCTCCTTACTTTAAATACCTTTCTGCACTTCTGAATTCAGCAGCTACAGCCCAGCGCAATTACTTGCAGAGCAAAGTTACTGCAGGTTGTGTGTTTCAGCTGCTGTAGTTGTTTGGAAAAAAGTGAAATATCAAATGTCTTTGGTTTCTTTTCTTTTTTTAGCATGAATATTTTACATCTTTAAGGTGTTCCATTTCCATTCTGAATTAAGGGATCGATGTCCAAAATAAAACATCAATGCAATATTGATTTTGTGTGAGACTGTTTTTTCCATACTATCTATACCTAACTGGGTTCCTAAAACCAGATAGGAAAATTCACAGTTGTTGTTTAGCATATTGTCATACTGGCGCTGTGTTTAACTAATATTGCTGTCTTAGCAACTAGGAAATCATTCCTGTGGAAAAGATGATTACTGAACCCAAAGGGTACAACTAAGTTAGAGTTTTGGATGCAGGAAAAGACATAATAGTTTAAAAACATTCCTATCTATTTTATGCACTCCTGATTTCTCTTCCAGCGATTCATGGAGAATAGTAGCGTAACTGCTTGTTACAATGAACTGATTCAAATAGAACATGGGGAAGTGCGATCTCAGTTCAAATTACGGTATGTAAAAGTATAAGAAGCTGCAAACGTAAATTGTTTGGTCTGCATGATCGTATTAGTTTACTTTCTGCTTTTCCCAGCTATGTTTATATGTGCTTTGCATCTATATGTTAACTAACTACTGTACCCTTATTTTCTTGTTCAATCATTTTGTAAGGGACAAAGTCAAGCATTTTATTGATTGGTATCCTGGGAAAGCTTAGTTGATGTGTCTAATACACTTGTGGTTTAGATGACAGTTTTCCTTAATGTAAAATATAGTACATGTTCTTTATTCTGATACTTGCTTGTGCTGCAAGTGTCTTGAGGTCCCATATTGAATTTAACAACATTCCAGCAGCTTTACTAACACCACAAATCTGAGTGAGATCCTTTAGCAAAAATATCACTGAATGGTGACTTCTGCTCATGTAGTCAAGAAAGGAGTAATTTTAAAAATGCTATCTTGTGCATAAGATTTATGGGCTAAAAATTTACATGACAATAAAACTTCATAAAGTCATTCTTGATCTCCTATGTCTGAGATTTCATATCAACAGCTTGTGATGAACACAGTCTTGAGCCAGATCTTCATACCCTGAGTTTTTAATTTTCTTACTTGGACAAGACTCATACCAGGATCATGGATTTTTATCTTAGTGAGAAATTAAAGACAGATATGACTTTCATTCCACTATCACTTTTTATTTTATATGACTAATTTTATATTTAATATAGTTGCTTATACATACATATAAAGGTATTTGCGGTTTGACTATATGAGGAAACAGCCTTGAATTTGTGTCATACAGAGCAGATTCAGGTCTCTAGGTCTCATCAGTGAATTCCAGTTCCCTCTGCAGCAAATTCTATAATGTGACCTAATTCTTAGTTTTTTTTATCACTTGAGTCAGAGAAGCAAGATAGGGGCCACTAAAGGATCCAGTGTTGCTGTTTAGGCAGTAGGCGTTTCTAAAACCTTGTTTTCAAAGGGGTTTCAAGATGACTTCATGTTCAAATGAATGTTTTTATACATGAAGAACGCAATTAAAATAAAATTTACAGACAAAAATAGGATTTGTGCTTACACAGTTATTTAACAGGTGTTTTCCAAGACTCACTAGGCAAATAAAGCAGTTGTGAAATCTTAGACGTTAATTAGGTGTTATGGTGGTCCTGGTTTGCATTACTGTTAGTAAGTGTGATGTGAAATATGTGACTGCTGAATTAAGTCTGTATGGTTCAAAAGCATTAGTTTATATTTAAGATTAAGCTGTCATAAACACAATGGCTGTAGTTTAGTAGAACAGAATTTGTAACAAGAGGAATACTGTAGTCTAAAGGGAAACTTGTTCAAGCTGTTGGACATATTTTTCAAGATTACTCTTCTCACAAGGTTAGCCAATGCTACTGTTATAGGACTTTGTTGCCCAACATTGTTCAAAGTCGGATTCCTGTCAGAAACTGCAAATGTGTGCAAATGACCTCCTTAATTTCTTAGCTAAGGGGAGTTAGTGCATTCTTTACTTTGCATTCTCTTTGTAGAAGCTTTTTGGCATTTCCACCTGTCTCCTCTTGTACATTTCGGTAAACAATCATTTAAATTACCTTTTTTTTTTTTCTTTAAGGTATTAACAGATGTGTCAATGGTGTCTTCTTATATGTTTTGTTTTCATTTTTTTTTCATTTTCTAATAATTATTGCATCCTTCTCATTCAAAACTTTCTGCTTTAACACATAGATTAATTCATTTCAAGAATGGAATGCTAGTGTAGTATCTATTGCTGAGATAGAGAGGTTATTTCACCAAATACAAAATCACACTGTGAAACTGGCTTGGATTGCTAGAGCATCCTTTGTAAAATGACAATAGAAGCTCTTTGTTGTGCAAGCTGAAACAGTGCTGTTTCCTTCTGTATGTAACGCTTCTTCCCACACATCTTCATCAGTGTGGTTATATGTATATGTCTTTGTGTATGCCATTTATTTTTGAGTTACTTTCGTGATGAGTAGAACTAGCAATACTGGTATTTCTTTAATCCTGAGGCAGAACGCCTCTCTGCTAGTGAATCGCTAGTCATCAGTACTTAATTCAAACCCAAAAATGCAGTCTGTGAGCAAGATATTCCTTTTAGGAAATAATTATATACAAGAACACTTAAGCATGGTTCGTTTTATGCTCTCTACAATGAGAGACAGAAGGATATACGTGAAAGATAATTAGTTTGTATTTAGTCAAAATCAAAGAAGGAGTAATGGCACCTATCAAAACAGAAGTGTCTGGGATGTTTCTTTTAGTATGTACTATATAACTGTAGTTTGCTTTCTAATATTAGGAGCGTACATTAAAGTTAATCCCATCCTGGCTAGATTATAATTTAAGCAATTTAAACTCTATAGCAAACAGGTAAGGGTTTTGTTTTCCTGCATTAGCTCAAGGAGAGCCCTGGAAAAATGGGAAATGGAGAACGCTTTGGCCCTTATTTAAGACCAGGACATACAGAAATGAAGTCACTGAATAATTACTTGGAGGCAAGAAAAGTAAAATTTTTGTGACTAGACTTTGAGATGACTTAAATTGTTTTCTCTAATTTTGTTATATTGCAACTTCTTTGATATTGGATATCTGTTTACTCTGTTGAAAACTTTGTGTGTATCTACTGCAGTGATTTTTGTGTTCTCTGTCTTCAATGATCACAAAACTTCATTATTCTGATGTAGCAGCACAAAATGATTTGTTATTTTTACTGCTAATTACTAATTCCTGCTATCTAGAGCATGTTTGGAGAAAGAAACCTGCTATTAAGATGATGCAAGACCCATGAACCCATTTTACAATGTGATCTGCAGTAAAAATATGTGAACAACAGGAATGTCTGAAGCTGAGTTTCCTGAAAAAAATGATCATCATGGAGGTGGTTACATGGTTTAGTCAAAACAAGATACTAATTTGTGATTCATCTACCAATAAATACAATGTAATAATATATTTATAGTGAGCAAAGTATTTTAACAATAAAACTAATATGAACCATTTACTAATTTCAGGGCTTGTAACGCAGTGTTTACAGCATTAGACCATTGTCAGGAAGCTATAGAAATAACCAGTGAAGATCATATCATTCAGGTAGGGAAAAAAAGCCATTCATTCTATAAAACATGAAGAAAGGAATCCCAGAGAGATCTCTGCACAGCAGTTTTGGTTTTATTTCAGTATTTTAGTTTTGTTGCCCTTTAGAAAGCCCTGTGCAGTGAATTGGCTTATTTCTAGATGCTGCATGTTGACACTGGCTGAATTTTTAAGTCCTTTCCTTTAGTAATTTTCTTTAAATTATAATTTGTAGTAAATTAATGTAAATTAAAAGCAGCATGAAATCCCTAACAGAACTAGGTAGCCTGTACAGTAAGGAGCTTTGTTCTGCTTCTGTGCTCTTTGATAACAATGTATATATCTCCTTCTGTATTCAGAAGCGTTTCACCACTTGCGTAGTATTTTTATGTGAAAAAACTTGAATTGTAGGGATGTGTGGTTATGGCTTTAGGTGTATATCTTTTAACACTTGGATATTTTTATATGAGTAAATATCTTTTAAGTATGTTCTTTTCCACATAATCCTAAAGTACTTTTCTGTCTGACAGTATGTTAATCCAGCCTTTGAACGGATGATGGGCTATCATAAGGGAGAGCTTATTGGCAAGGAACTTACTGAACTACCAAAAAGCGATAAAAACCATGCAGATCTCTTAGACACTATCAACACATTTATTAAAAAAGGAAAGGTAGGTAAATAAAATAAAGCAGTGCAAAATTTGTATTTCTAATCTGCTTTATTTGTAATGCTCTAGGGTTAAAAACACAAGATGGTACTTTCCTGAGCTGCATATATATGACCAGAATTCTGCTCCTCTGATGTGTTAGGACCAGAATAGCCCATTCCTCAGACCAATGACTGCACATTTCTTTAGCTTTTGCTTTTAGGGTGTGACTGAACCTCTCAACCCATCTGTTGGTTTGAGATTAATATGCTGTGAAATTTTCTGTGCTTCTGTTTTGGTGAGAGCACAGGTCTCTTTTGTTAGTTGGAACATATTGTTTGTCCCTCAGTCAGTCTCTCAAGTAGTGTCATCATGCAAGCAAAAGGTTTAACAGTTCTGTCATAATTGCAGAAGCTTCACTGACTGCATGCCTAAAGCAACATATGACATAATCTGCTGTGATCAAAATGTATCAGCACCCAGTGTGGTTTCTTTTTTAACTGTGATTAGAATATCTGTGGTGCGCTGTGGACTCCTGTGGTGGTGGTAGCAGGCCTTCTGAACATGACAGCAAGGCTGTATGTTCCTGGCCGTATGTCTGCTAGTACATGGAGCAGTCTCTTACCGCGTCTCCCACAGGTTGCAGAAGTACCTCTAGCCCTTCCCTTCCCCCCTCTGCGTCATGAGCTGTGGGGAGTTCTTCAGTCTTTGAGTCACTTTTAACAACATCCTGAGTTTTTGAGAGCCATTGCCTGGAGTTTGCAGGTTCATCTTGGTTCGTTAGCAATACCTACAGGCCCCTCTTGCTTTGCTTCTCATTGCTATAGCCTGCCCACCTGCTAGCACTGCCTGCTTAGTGGCCCTCTGCCTCCTCTGCACTGGGAGGTAGTGGTCTAAGTCTTTGGCTGTAACAGCGATGAGAGAGCTCATCTTCCACCCAGTTCCCTACATCATCCTACTCTGCTGCTAAGTAGTTCCCCCCTTAACATCTCTCTTCTTGGAGGCAGTAAGGGGAGGGAAGCCTTTTCCCTCTTGCTTCCTTTTCCAGTCCATATCTGAGTATAGTCTTGTATTTTTGCATCAGTGGACTGCTTAAGGCTGGTGCATATATGTCCCCCAGTTAGTCTTCAGTCCTCTTTATGCTTTCCGCTAGCAATGGGAATGGAAAGGAAATGAATGGTTGGACAGACAAACGGGCATTTTCATGGGAAACCAGGATAAAAGATGCCATAAAGAAATTGTTGCTTCCATTTGCTAGTCTGGAGGGCCTTGAATATCCAAGGTCCTGGGAGAACGGTCACGAGGTGTCAAGAGATTGATGGTTACCTGAGGTTCTGTCAGTCAGCGGCTTCTGAAACCTAGCACGCATATCACTAGAGGGATCAGTGACTTCAGAGCTGTTTGGTGCTCAGCAGAGCTCCATACGTGTGGTGCTGAGAGTTTGGATTTACCACTAGCAGAGAGATATTCTCTGGAACTGTTGCAGACACGACTGCTTATTGTGGTACCTAGCAACAATGTTTGTAACCCCTTGAAATGGATGATTCCTAAAGTTCCTTGTAAAAATTGTGAACTCTCTCAAAAGAGAAACATGAAAAAATTTATATTGTCATGAGGTATGTAAATGTCTGTTAAAGATGATACTCTGTATTAATAAACTTTACACTATTTTAAAAATTAAAACTATGAAATAATATGTAATTACTTATTACAGAAAGACTTTAATAATGAATGAATATTTGACTGCAAGCTAAGTATTCTTAAATGCTGTCTCTGTCATGTTTGTTTGCCTAGGAATGGCAAGGCGTTTATTATGCAAGAAGAAAATCAGGAGACAGTATCCAGCAGCACGTGAAGATAACACCCGTGATTGGTCAAGGAGGGTAACTAACTTGCCCAGAATATAGTTGCTTTCTCATTTTTAGATTCTTCTCTTTTCTTTTCCCACCTGCGAGTTTGGCATGAACCCCCATGTACTTAGTAGCAGGGTGACGATATAACTACTGGCTATAAGGAATATAGACAGAATAAGCAGTGTTCAGAAGGTCATGCTCTTTGCTGATGTTGTCTGTTTCAGTGTTGTCATATGCTGGCTAAAAGAACTGTGTATAAAGTCATAACAATGAATAGCGTCATACTACAGATATCTGCAAATTGAAGTTTAGGTTCATGTTACTGTGCCTTTATTTATGCAGTTATTCTCCATTATCAAAACTGTTACTAAGTCAGTTGGAAGTATCAGCAGTAAGGTGATTCTCTTGTTTGTGTGTGTGCTTGTATGCACTTGCGCCTTTACAGTGCATATGGCCAAATTCTGCTCCCAGATGTGCAGGTGAATTCCTGCAGGAGGAAAAGATTCAGGTATCCTGGGACAAAAACATACAACATTGAAGAAGTGCTTGTTGCTTAGTAGTACGATTTTGGTTTTGATATCTGATTTCATAAAGGCATCAAGAACTCTGCTTTAGGAAAACAGCAGGATATCATTTCACTTCTCTCATAACCATTTGATGTGGTAACAATTGATTATTTCTCTTGCTAGGAAAATAAGACATTTTGTGTCGCTCAAAAGGCTGCGTTGTACCAATGAAAACAACAAACAGGTACTGTATTTCTTTCATGCCATAAATTTCATCACTTTTAGTAAACTTTTTTGTTTTAGAAATTAGTATCACATCCTCTTGGGAAAATGATGAAATTCTTATTGTTTGAGCAAGCAGGAAAGCTTTTGTGCTTACTTCAAGCTTAGCTTTTTTCTGATGGCCTACTCTTCTTCTGTAGGACTGGTGAGTGGAGGCTTTTATTCTCTGGAGCATGGACATGACAGTTAAGTCTATGATATTGTGGTGCAGCATAGACCAGTTTGGAGGAAACTTCTGGCCTTTTTTCTAGAGCTACCCTTGTTGCAAGTCTGAACTGCCATACTTATGTCTAATAATGACCTATGCTCAGCTGTTACAATGTTTGCTGATACATGATTCTTGATTAAGCGTGGCGTTCATGGAGGATTTGAGACATCACACGCTCGACAGAATGTGTGTGTTGTGGAGGAGTGTAATCCAAGCCACCCTTAGCCATGGGAGGAGGTAAACCAGCAGTAGCTGTTGACCCTGTTGTCTGTGGTCCACGCACATCTTCACCCAAGCAATGGGTCCTGCAGAGAATCTAGTGGTGTGGGGAGCAGTTTGTTGTGATCTCCTCCTTGGCCTCTCTCTTTGTAAGTGTCTCTGCAGACACTCATTATATCTCGTGTTTTGCCTCAAGAGTACTCTACATGGCCTGTAGAGTCAGGAAGTTTGAACTTATCTGAGCAAAGAAGCAAAATCTTTAGCCTGTGGTCTGTAGGAGCGAGAGACAGAAAGGAAGGAGCATAGGAAGTCGTCGGCTGCATTTTAGACTGAGGATGTGCCTGGGAAGCACCGTACGTTTCCATGTGTCTTGTTTTACCTAGAATTTTAAATGTGCTTTCATCTATGATGTGGATAAGGACACTTGTGCTTAAAATGTATTTAGGTAGTCGCCTCTATCTTTAGGTGCCCCTTCTTCAGTATAACAATTCTATCCATATTAGTACATCATTGGAAAACTTCTACTATTGGAAGAAGTTAATAGATGGTGTTCTGTAAAATCTGAATCTGTTAGTGGAAACCACACCCCTTGCACAAACTGTTGTGGGGGCAGACAGTAACAAATCAAGGGAGACAGCTGCAAAACTTTTGAGAGAAACTGGAAGTTCTATCACCAGAAAAGAGACCTCAGCTTTGGACTATAAACATACCTCGGTGGTGAAGTATCATTTACAGTAGCAGGTTGCTAAATATGCTCAGCTTAGCACATGGGAGATTTTTGAAACAAAAGAAGTGCTAAAGTTGTAGGTATTTCTTTTTAGTTCATTAATAATCGTCTTTGATTTTGCTCTGTTTACAGCTGCTTTAATGTTGTTTTGACAGTGAGATACTATTTAATAATGATTCTTTTTTATAATACACACCCAGCTGAAAGACTGGTACAAGGAAATGTAGATGTGATACTCTTTATGCAAAATAGGCAGTGCAAAACAATTGCAAACTTGCAGCCATATGTAAAAAGCAATAGTAGGAATATAGATAAAAGTTTTTTTTGTTTCTGTTTTTCATCTTCCAGTTCATTGATCTGCCAAAGGAAGTAAGCTTAAGAATAACGTTTTACATAAGAATTTGAGTTTAAGACCAGATTCATATTCTTTATATTACTAGCCCCATCCATTCATGGTTTTTAATATGGGTCCATGAATGGTTATTGGTAAATAAAGCCCTGATGAAATGAGTTTGTAGGCAGGCCTGGAGAGCCTTACACACCTGGAGAGCTCAGGGAATATGACCTTTAAAGGGTTCTGAACCCTTAGAGATCTGTGTAGGGATCTACCACAAAGACTAAAGATCATAGCCTAACAAAAAGCATAATCTGTGGACGTTTAAGATCCTTATGGGAAAAATCAAGGTAAATCCAACACTACCAGATAATTATTCTCTTTTACTTTTTTGATGGAAGTCTCTTCTGCTTGTAGTAGGGTATCAGGTGCTCTGTCACTAAAAAAATTCTAACAGTGTCTTGGGTGCTTGTTTTGTTTTGCTTTTTAATTTTAGATGGGGTGATGTATAATAATACCTATACTGTATTCATAATACTTAAAGTTAGTTTTGTAGCAGTAATACCTTGAATTTAATCCTGTTGAACCTTTAGACGCTGCAGTTTTGCACCCTCTGGTGGCAAAGAGTGGTTCAACCACAGACGCAGCACAACTCTTAGGAGACTGCTCCAAGCTCAAACTAATTTTTGCATGAAGACCTCTGCAGCAGTTAGTGAGGCAGAATGAAAACCCAGAAAAAGCTTGATGAAAAGGAAATATTATATTAATAATGACTCCTGGGGTTTTAAATTTGATATTAAATTTAATTCAGTCATTTTTGTGGTACCCCTTATATTTGTAATTTTCAGTATACTACAGCATTTTCCAGTGTAGTGCACCATCCTTTTGGAAAAGCTGTCAGGGAAAGGAAGAAGTATGTCTGCAGTTGCGTAGACTTTCTGCATTCATGATATGGAGAGGAATATTTTTAGGGATTGAGAGATCAGACAGTTGATAGCACTCTGTCTTCAGTTAGAGACAGTTAATAAGACCATAGGTGTAGATTTTGCTGAGATGAAGCCGTTTTCTCTTTCCCCTGCTCCTAATGCCGTGGAGGTGTGTTGTACTGGAGTAAAATGAGACTTTATCAAAGGATAAATAGAGCAAAGTTGCAAACATAGGCAAACCCATCACTGACACTTCTGTTTGGAGCTAGTAGCGTATCCCATCTATTCATTTAGAATCACAGAATCACAGAATGGCCAAGGTTGGAAGAGACCTCTGGAGACCATCTAGTCCAACCCCCCTGCTCAAGCAAGGTCGTCTAGAGCACACTGCACAGGATCACATCCAGGCAGGTTTTGAATATCTGCAGATAAGGAGGCTCCACAACCTGTCTGGGAAACCTGTTCCAGTGCTCTGTCACCCTCCCAGGAAAGAAGTTCTTCCTCACATTCAGATGGAACTGCCTGTGTTTCAGTTTGTGCCCGTTGCCTCTCGCCCTGTCACTGGGCACCACGGAGAAGAGTCTGACCCCATCGTCTTGACACCCTCCCTGTAGATATTTGTATATATGCATTTGTTAACTTGTGGTCTACCAGGACACCCAAGTCCTTCTCTGCAAAGCTGCTTTCCAGCAGGTCAAGCCCCAGCCTGCACTGGTACATGGTGTTACTCTTCCCTAAATGCAGGACCCTGATTTAGATTTAGGTTTAGACCTCCCAAAAGGTGTTCTCAGGCTCTGCTGGAAGGCAATCCCTTGCTTTCATCTGTCATTTTATTTCAGTGCATTCCTGAAAAAGGAACATTCCTCATCCTTTATAATACGGCAGCTGTGTGAGTCGATAACATGCCTGCAGGCACTGCAGATTGCTTAGGGTGCGAGGGGGCGCCGCTTGACTTTTCCTCAAGATGGAGCTTGAATAGGCTGAGTAGTGTGGGAGCTTCCTTTCAGGTGAGAGGATGCACACAGACGTTGAGAGGTCAGCATTTAAGCTACGGCTTCTGGTGGCCAAGAGGCTTCAGTTAGCCTGCTAGGAGCATCCATAACATATCGCGCCAAGCTTCTGCATCTTGCAGAGCTATTTTGTCCTATCCAGGTGGTGGTGTGGGTGCAGTTTGTGAAGCTTTCTGGCTACCATTCCCTTCCTCTCTTCTTCCTGTTGGAATGGCACCTTGTGAGGTAAATGCTGAGACTGGCCTAAATGCTTTCTTTTCCAATAGTGTAATAAATAGTCAATGCTTGGGTTTGTTGAGATTCATGCTTTATGTAGGATATCCACCTGGCTCTTGATCCCACACCACAGCGCTGTCAATTCACATATTTTTGCTGCAGCACTATGGCTTCCATGACCTTATCTGTCAGACATGGTGTTCACCAGCCAGCTGTATCTGCCAGGCAGGTGTGAGATTGTGGCTCTGGGCAGCAGCTGGGCAGCGCGTGACTCCTGAGGGAGCCTGGCTCCTCGAAGCCTGCTGTGAGAACGCTCCTCCTGGCTTTAGCCTAGTGCTGTGGCCCTCTGTTGCATGACCTCATGCATTGGTGGGGGCGCAATCTCTTCATATCGATGCACTGAACAAGCCTTTTTGCTGATAAAGTTGTGAGGGCTAAACACCCAAAAGAGTAACATGGGAGAAGGGGAGGCAATATGTTTCCAAAATACCTAACTCAGAAGGGTAGCTAACAGTGATGAGTTTGTCTTGCACACACTCTTCTCCAGGAATGTTTGATCAGCCTCCACAATCCACTTGTGGTCGTACTGGACGATTTGCTCTGAAAAATACCATCAGAAATTTGAGTGAGTTGGTTCTAGTATCAGTTTCTTTTTATGTAAAGCTGTGGATTCCAATAACTCCACTGGACAACTCTGCCATCATCATGACACTGTTGTGTAATGAACTGTATGCATGTCTGTGGTCTTTATTGCCAGGAGATTTGAAGATAAAATGGGACTTCAGTTCTAAAAATAAGTCAGGTCTTGCATTTAATCACATTTTTTAGATATTATGTTTTGTGATAAAACTCATAATTCCTTTCCGCTAGCCATATGGACATCTTTAGCAGGGAAGCAAAAGAGTGCACTACATTTTTTAACATGCAAATATTTCTTTTTTTGCAAAACAAAAGCTACAAACACCTCTTTTGTGACAAATGCAATGTATTTGATGCTTTTTTTCTCTCTATAGTTAAACTTACATCCAGCTTTTGTTGGGATTTTTTCTAATTACTCATCTCAAAACAGGTTTTAGGGAAAATTAAGCCCATAAGGCTTAATTAAAACCACACCTAAGTATTTGCAGCAGTAGAACTTTTCTCAGCACTAAAAAATTACTAGGTTTTTCTTCAAGCCAAAAATTATTCTTTATGGAAGGCTAAGAGAAAATCGATTGCTATAATTAGTTAGAGGGCAGTAATAGATGCCATGATTCAAATTTTGATCCAAATACCTTGTGTTTCTCTATGTCAACGTAATTCTAAATGTCTTGGACTCAACTTTCAGGCCCTGTATGTAGACATACAAGCATCATTATATTATTATACATTGTTTCACATGACATATTGTAGGGATGTTCTTTGTCAGTACTGACAGTATGCATAAGGCGTATCAGTACAATTAGAAATCACTGTATAGGAACCTTCATGGATTTCAGTGCCAGATTTATCCCGTACAAAAATGGAGCATGTTAGATTTATGCATGGAAAATAATACATCTGAGAATGTAGTAAGTATTCCTACAGTGAAGATTTATGAATGGGAATTGACTTTTCATGTGACTAGTCCCGGGTGCTGAAGCCTAGGTAATGATTAACGCTGCCTTTGTGAACTGGGACCTGGCAGGATCGAGTCCAGTGTTTGCACATTCATAAATTTATAGTGGAGGTGATGTTTCTCCTTTTAAGAACGTGTTAGTTCAAGTTTAACTGTGTAACTGCTCTCGTAACTCACCTTTTGTGGCTCTTTCAGGTCATGCCTACTGAAGGGGTCAGAGAAGTATTCAGAACTGGAATGCAGTTTGTTTTATTTTTTTAATGGGACACCTGGAGATTTTCTGTCAGTCATACAATAGAGAGGGAGAGAGATCTCCAAGGGCTTTGAAAGAAGCTCTAGTTTGGGACCAGAGCAAGCAGTTCAGATGCCGTGTCAGTGTACCCTCTATGATGAGCTTCCTCAATCTTACTGTGTTTGAACCAGATGACTTCTTTGAGAGTTTGTGCAATCCCCCCTGTTTAGGTGATTAGAAGAGAGGTATTTTAAGCTTCTAAAACTAGTTTTCTGAGGGAGAGTAGCTCCTTACCCTCCCTTAAACAAAATGTGTATGGAATATGAGTGTAGAATTTTCTCTTCTTTTTTTTTTTTTTCCTTCTTAATCATCACGTTAATAGTTTCCCACTCCTGAATTTTGGTTTTTGTCTTTCCATTCTCTTCTCTTTTGTTTTCATCGTTTTCTCCTCTTTCCCCCAGTAGTGAAAAGGAAGAAGGATGGGAAGGGTGGAAGAATGATGGAAAAGAGAACTTGCATAATTCCTTTCTTTCGTGAATAATCCTCATTAGGACTCTGCAGCGTGCAGTGTCATACACTGATATGAGCACTCAGATAAGTGCAGCCTTGCAGTACTCTCCCTTTAGCTCACAAGTAGCAACCATGGACTTCAGGCTTCCATGCAAGCTAGTGCTTTGCTCTAGGCAGGTGATGGATTTGGTCAAAGGAACTAACTGTCATAGATGAGGTGACTGTACTGAGGTGGCTTTATTAGCTATACCTAATTAGAGCACAAGGAACTGAGAGTTCCATTCAGTTTTCCTACTTGCACAGAAATACTTTTTGTAACCACGTGACAAAGGAAAAGGGGTGAAGTGATTAATAGATATTAAAACTATCACATATTGGACAGGATGCGCGTTTGTTTCTGAGCAGGTTGGAAACACGGAGAAGCATTTGACCTGTGTTATTGGAGACCAAGCAATATGCGACAACTTCAAGGGGCTGGATATGTCTTACCTAAATTTGATGAAATATTGAAATATCTATTCATGGAGCTACCCAAGGTGTTTCAGAAGCACCAAAAAAAAATGTTTTATTTGACTTTTTCATTCATGGAGATGATTAAAAATTACTTAGAAATAAAGAAAATCCCCTGGTTCTGAAGGATTACATCTATCTCTACCCTTCAGTTGCTGGGGAGTTTTTCTTTTTTATGAAAACTGTCCCGTTTATCACAGATCCTTGAGAGAATACTTGCAATTGGCTTAAATAGGCTAAGAAAATGGTTTTGGAATTACTGTACCAAGGGCAAGAATGAATAACATTTTAGAATCTCTTTTCTTTTTGCATTTTGTTCCTGGAATCTTTCAGGTTTATTTAAGAATTGTCCTTAAAACGTTATTTGAAAATGAATGTCATTTCTCCTGCAGACACAGGCATTAAACAGTAACTTGGTACAGAAAAGCACTATTATATTAGTGATTTCCTGCATTGCATGTCTATTTGCTTTTGTATTATTTCTCTACAGCTAATTACACCAACAGAAGAGTCTTTGCCTTTTTTTTTTTAATAACGGAACAGAAAACATTGGATAAGGATGGTGTTGAATTTCGCTCTTTTAAAATCTTTTTGTATTCTTTTTCCTTATGTATGTTTTTTACTCTTGATGCGTCTTCAGCTCTACAAGAGCCACCGTGATGAGAAGTATACCGGCGACAATTCTCAGTCAGGTCAGAATATTATCATTTACCTTCACGTACTTGCGTGCTTGAAACTGTGGCCAGGTTCTTTGTTGGTATGAAATGTTGTCTCTTCGCTTTCGATTCAAGTTTGTGGTCAAAAAGATGGCCTATGCCTGATGCCAGCTGCTCTAATGATCCACCATGAACTGGATTTGTAAAATCATTAGTAATTCAGTCTACTGTGCAGAGCTCTTGCCCAGCGTTCAGAGTTAAGATGCGTTGCTCTTAGTTGTATTAAAACACCGTGTCTTTTCCCACAGCTGGTGTAACTTGGTATCCCTTACTACTGGAAATAAATGTGGAACTGCACTGATTCATGCTACCAGAAGATCTGTCCTAGTATTTCCAAGTTTAGGACATGTCAGCAGGACCTATTAGTCTGTGCTCAGTGTGGGGCTAAGATAGCTGTGTAGTATGCAGGCCACAGCTCCTCATGTCCAGTCAGTGCTGAGCACGACAGAGTTGTTGCTGTGTGTCTGCACCACCCTCTCTATCCAAGGCAGGTTTGTTTACTTGCAGACAGCATGTTCTAGCGCTCAGTCAAAAGCTTTCCGCAGAAGTTACTAAAGGTTTTGAGTGCAAGTGAATAATCACTTTTTCCAATGCTGTGTACTGTTTGGAATAGCACTTTTTCCTGAGGAAGGATGTGTAAAAGGCCAGTTTTAAGCTTGTAATAGTTTTCTATTGATCTAGGCTAGATGCAGCATCTAGTTTCTCATGCTCTGTTACCCTCTACTGCCTGAGGCCCTTCCCCCTCTGAAACACTGGGCATGTTGCTGCACATTGTCAGCCAGCTTTTGATCTTCACATGGAAGAACATAACTTATCAAAGACTGTGAGAAGTGACCGCTTGACATCCCCTACTTTTTAAATTAAGTAGCACAAGGATACATAGAAGCATTGGAGAACTTAGTGATGCAAAAGTGTAACGAGGGGTCAGGGGAGAGACAATATTTGCTATTTGCTATTCTCATTACCATAGTTGCCATTAGAACTGATCCTGCTGTTGAACTGTTTACTTGCTCCTGTGCTCCTGTAATAAATGTTATTCTTCTTTCCTGGTTGTGGAGTCTGCAGACAGGGGAAGGTGGGAACACCTGTGAATCAAGTTGCAGAACACTGGAATAGAATTGTTATTAGTTAGTTTACTGATGTCTTTCACAGATTATATATAGAGGCATTTAGATTCATTCATTGTTGTCATAGATTTCAGCAAGACCTGGAAGCCACGTTACTTGAAGTCTGATTGATGATTATGGTACACTGAAAACGGGCAACTTTATCTCATTAAAGTCACGTGGCTGTGGTATTGGCTCTGCTGCAAGAATTACTGCCTAGAGCCATCTAAAGGCATATGCCAGTACATGATGAGGGTAGTACGATGATCCATGTGTATGCTGCTGTTTGTGATGTGTTTCACAACACATCTGGATGGGGAGACATTTCACTCACCAGGAGAAGGCTAAATTTTTACTTGAGTATTTAAGAAATCTGCAGCTAAAACTATAGCCTGGCATAGAGTAGCTTTTATGCACGTGTGTCTCTCTAGGTGGCACTAGCAAATCTTCCAACTCGCTAGTTGATGTTTAACACGAGGAGTATCTTGTCTGCTACTGCCCTGCAGCTGTGTTTTACTCTCCCTCAAGTGCCTTATGTTAAACTCTTGCATGTGTTAACACAGGAGAGGGGTTAAAAGAGGAGAGCTACCAAATAAATGAACAAAACAATAAAATTATTTAACATACATTAGCTGCACCTAGCTTTTGAGTGAATAAATCTACACAGTAGTTGCAACAAGCACCAAAAGCACAACAGAGGAAAATGCTTTCTGTTGCTCCAGTATGATGTAAAGCAAAACAAAAAGACCCAAATTTACTTGTAAATTTCTGGTAAAGAAAGTAATTCTCAACACTCATTTATAAAATTGATATATTTTTAATTCTGGAGCACTGGATGAAATTTAATTTTCTGGAAGACATGCCACACAGAATTCTGTCTTATAACATTGATATGTAGCTCTGTCCTTATGTTGAGAATATAAGTTTTATGATATTTCTGACTCTTCACACAATACTTATCTCCTTTTGAACGCTTTCTGTGGTCTCTGATCTTTGAGTGACATTTCAGATAGTCTGGGAGTAGGCACTTGAAGAGACCCTTGCAAAGGGATGCATAGATATCTGGGATTGTTGTTTTTATAAACATAAAGGGAGCATGCAGACTATAAGGTTTTAGAGAAAACTGAAATTTATTTGTTTGTTGAGAACCTGTCCAGGCATGTGTATGAGTCAGTTCCATCTGGCGTTTGCATTTGTCTGGATGTGATGATTTCTCTTGTTTCACCAAATGGCAGTTTAAAGAATGACAGCTTGGTGTGCAGTTAATTTTGGCAGTGACTGAACTGATTATTTATAATCCTGGTGATTATGTTAAATTTTTCTTAAACTCAGAGTACAAGTAATTAGTGAAATAAAAAGCAAAAGCTGTCTGAGTACGAAGAGGCTGGAACAGCCCTCATTCTAGGGCTGGAAGTGTATAGACCAAGGCGGGATTTTTCTTACTTAGCCAAATTTCCAGGTAGCTAAAGGTACATAATCCTTAGACTTGTTCAGTGTCAGTGGAGAGCAAAGGAACTTGCAGAAGAGGTTCAACCCACCTGCCACAGATGTCTCTCCTAAAGTACACTGAACTGTTCTGTGGTTGTGCCCCAGCCTGTCCCCATTAATTTAGAGGCATCTTTGACAACTACCTTAGACAAAGACAATCTGAAAGACTGTTGCTTTTAGGCAGCTAAAGTTAAGTTAAGTGAGTCCGCTGTTCAGTAAATTATCTTGCTTTTCCTGATAGACAACTTCCCAGGTGACTTTAGACAAGTTGCTATAAGTTGACAGATACTCAGTTTGCATCTCAGTCCCTTGTTCTGAAGCGTAAACATTACAGTATTTCCCTTCCTTATGTGACATTGTTGAGATCATTTAATCTTTGTAATTTTTAAGATGGAGGAGGCTGTAAAAGTATGTATTACAGACACATTTTTAAAGCTTTTATTTTCTATTTACAGAATCCCATTCCTTCAGATGCAAGAACAGAAGGAAAGACTCGATTGATGTTAAGTCAATAACATCTCAAAGTAGTGATGGTAAGAAAATAGAAACCTATCAAGAGGAAGGTTAGAAATAAAGAATGTAATTGCCCTAGGCAATAGAAATGCAGAATGAAAGAGGAGCCAGACAGATTCACAACTGATTAAACAGAGGTTTCTCTAGTTGCTTGTAACTTCTTAAAAAATCTCTTTATTCAGAATAGTAAAGCATTGTCGCATCATGAGCATCCATGTTGCTGTAAGATGCATGGCAGCACGTGATGCCTTTACAGAAAGGAGTGGCTTGCTGCAGCAGAGAGGTCATGTGTGTGTGCTAAAAGAGCGTGTGGTGAAGCACCAGTTCCACCTGCCTTGGAAAGCTGCAGCTTGTGCTCCATAAATAGTGTTTTGATTTCATTAGACAGTGGGGCATAAAGAAATCTGTTGCTACTGGATACTTGGGAACAACGCTTCTGATCCCATCTGTGGTTGGCTGCCAGGTTGGGATGGTGGTGGCAGAGATTTCTTTTTGCCATGGGATACAGTGAGAGAAGGACAGCTTATAGGGAGCAGTAATGGGTTTCATTAGAGCAGTTGCCATCACTGGGGTGAGATGGGCACGCACACTCACAGGAGAAACCATAGTATGCAGAGATCCATTTGCAAACAAATGGAGAGTGGCAGGTGCTGAGCACAAAGGAGCCTAATTGGAGCGAAGGATGGATAGAAAAGCCGATAGTGGAAGCGAGAGGTAGCTGCAAACGAGATAGGCACCACTATGAGAAATGAGAGAGCGAAGCAAGAAGTGGCAGAAGGGGAGATACAGGAGAAATAGGAGACGAGCCTGGATTCTGTCATGCTGTTTCCTAATGACAGTGTTTGGCGCACTCTAAATGGCATCGTATGATTTATACTCTGCAACATGTAAACAGTGCTCTCTTTAATGGCAGCCCCAAGTTTGCAGACCCGCCGGTACTCTTCAATGGCAAGGATCCACTCAATGACAATAGAAGCTCCTATCACGAAGGTGAGTCCTGAGCATTGCCTTCTCCACAAACTTGGAGTTTAGAGTTGTTCCGATAGGGAAATACGTAGTTAATGGCAGTATTTACAGACATTAAGGGATTATATATACTGCACCTTGTATCTAACAGAATAATTAAAATCGATCCTGTTTTTCTTTTTTCCTTCCAACTTTGTGCCTCTCATTCCTAGTCATAGTCATGAGGAAGAAGGGTGGCCTTGCTATGTTTGTTCAGCTACACTGCTTGTGGCAGGAAGAGGACCCTACTCTGCTGGGCTGTGCATGTGCAGGAGGATATGTGCTCTCTGCTGTTACCTACACCACATTCTGTTACCCACTTTCCTGTACTGGTTCTTCTCTACCTGTTTTACCCAAATTCTGCTGTCCCAAAGCAGCTGCATACTCACTCTTCCCACAGACCGTGGTGCCTGCCATCTCCCACCCTCAAGCCATTTTTTCCCTTCTCCCCATCTTCTCTTCCCATCCTCAAGCCCATTGCCTCCAAGCACCAACCTGCCTGATACAGCAGCTGGTTCCTTTCCTTTTCTTTCACCCCCAGGATCTTCACATACCTGCAGGGAGGCCTGTAGTATCTCAGCAGCAGCTTCTGGTTGCTGGAGAGGACGCTGGGGCTTTTTTCCTCTCAGTCCTAGCCATGCCAGGGGCAGTCCTTGGTGCGGCTGTGTCATTCCTCCTTTTCCAGTTTGCAGCTGAGATGCATTGTGGAAGGCAGAGAAGAGCCATCCTCTTCTCCCTCAGCCACAGCCCAGCTGTTGCTGCTCCCTGCCCTTCCTTTCCATACTGAATAAATTAAGCCTTTAAATCCAATATCAGGATATCTGAATCCTGTCCAGCAGTCCCTTTTATTCTCTACGGACTGCTTGACTGGGTCTGAGCAGCCCTGCATATGTTGAAGGACTGTGACATGGCCAGTTGTTTGTCTATCCATCTGGGACTACTTTAGATATTTTGCACCCTCCCTTCTGCCGCCCCTTCGTAGGAGTTTACCAGTTACAAACAGTAGCCAGGTAGCTGGGAATCAAAGCACAAATTTACATTTTCATGGTTGTACTCAAAGGGCTGGGGAGAATTACATAGCACTTGCTAAGTGGGAAGCAGCATAATGTTTTGCCAACAAAGATTTTGTAATAAGAAAAGAACAATGTGGTGTTCACTTTTCCTCACTCACCTCCCTAATCTGCTTTCAGGTTATTAATATAATTAATGCTGCCCAGGAAAACAGCCCCATCACAGTAGCAGAAGCCTTGGACAGAGTTCTGGAAATCTTGCGGACAACAGAACTTTACTCCCCTCAGCTAGGTACCAAAGATGAAGATCCTCACACAAGTGATCTTGTTGGAGGTCTGATGACTGTAAGTAAAATGAGTAAAGATTAAGTCACTGCTCCTAGTGCATCACTGTTCGGTGATCTTCTGTCCTAAAATTGTACAAGCAATGGGAGGGAGAGGTCTCTGCCAACAGTAAGCACCAAGATGTAGTAAGGTATATTATGGCAATGTCTTAGCCCACTGGATGCTTTCATCCTCATATACAAGTGAACATGGATACCACTAGAAACTGTGTCATCTAATCTGCTTTGTCTCAAGGAGATACTTTTTAGAAGCCCTAGGAGTTTAGATGCTGCATTAGAGGGATTGCTCTACATCTGCTGTACCCGACGATTAGGTGAGGACAGTAAAACTGAGATTTACTTTCGTCACGTTCTAACTTTAGTTTCCTAACAGTAGCAACACTCCCTTACAGAGAGGGCCTGCCTCATCATCATGGATTACCTCTTTTTTTTGATGAACACTGAGCTGATCCTTGCCAAAATGATATAAAGAAAAGGAAGAATAAATTGTATTAGTTAATGTGAACGATGAAATCCTGCAGATGCCAATGGAAGCAGCAAGGAGGGCAGTACACTGTACAGTACACTGTAGACTCTATGAGATCTCTTTTCTGGAGAGCTCATACTCCTGATCCTTTGATATCCATAGAGTCCAGTTGAAAGCAGTTATCACTTCTGTCAAATTTGCCAAATCAGAGAAGACAGAGCTGGAATTTACATGCTTCTTGTTGGATCCTTCTGTATCTATAGTGGAAGACCTTAAAACAAGGACGGTGCTTATGATGCTACAATACGAGTAATGTTCTCAATACCCAGGAATAGTACCTAAAAAGAAAATGCGTGTTGTGTTTTTACAATTAATCATGCATGTGTACTGTGTTTGCCTAAAACTTGCATCTTTACTTATTTCAGGATGGCTTGAGAAGACTGTCAGGAAACGAGTATGTGTTTTCTAAGAGTAAGCTGCCATTTTAAAATTCCTTTTACCAGTGTTACTTCATTTGCAGATGACAAAGATGTAGAGCTCTGTGCTAATTTGCAATGTGGCATAAGTCTTTGGAAATGGTTGTCTAAGTGGCCGTAGAACTAAAGTGCTGGACTGTCTTTATTTTGGAGTTAAAGCAGGTTAAAATACTTAAAATAAGACATTTAAAAATGCAGAAAATCAAACTGAAAAAAAACTAAATTCTCACTCAAAGAGATGATCACTGATTTGTTTTTTTTTTTTAGTATATGTCCAAATAACATATAAAGATATAAACCGTAGATACGATAGGCTTTTACAGACTTTTTCCAGCTAGATTTTGTCTTGAAAAAAAGTTGTTTTCTAAGTTGAATTCTACACATGAAATAAAATCCAGAAGTATTGTATTTGCATTCCATTTCAACAGATATGAACCTGAGCCATAGTCACCTTTCAGTGCCAATTACCATCAACGATGTTCCACCTTGTATCGCACAGCTCCTGGATAATGAAGAAAGCTGGGACTTCAATATTTTTGAGTTAGAGGCTGTTACAAATAAAAGGTACTGGACCCCTTTCCCTGGGTGCCTTTAATGAACTTGTTGAGGTGCTGTGGCACAAAGTGCTGTGCTCTGGAAGAACTGAAGCAAGATACAGCTGATCTGTGAGAGCAGTCTTGGGGCTTTTCTTTTTTTTTTTTTTTTTTTTTTTTTGTGCATGTATGTGTTGATGTTACTTGTCCTATTTTAACAACCCAGGCACACACTATGATCAGGATGCATGCACAGGCAGTGGAGAACCCCTGCAGACTGTTGTCTTTCCTGACAGCATCTACAGCCCTTCCTGTTTCCTGTTCAATTTTTAGCTTGTCTCTACCCCATCTAGTCTATACATGTAACGCTATTTGGCATGGACTGGTGTTGTTACGTTCTGGATGTCCCACAGGTGCCCCTTTTTTTGCTGCTGCACAAATGGTCTTGCTGAAAAATGCAAGCCGCTCACCTCATCCCCCACGATTTAAGCAGCTCGGAAGCAGCTATGGCTTTTGATTATGGCTTAGAAGATTGGGATGAGGGACAAAAGGCCAAGAGAGCCTGAGATTTTGAAGACTGTGTTGAAAGGAGGCACCAGTATACTTGGTCTCATGCAGATTATAAAAATAAACATGTCATCCAGAGAGAGAAGTGATTTTGATTCCAAGATGCAAGGAACTGGGGAGACTAACAGCTCCTCCAGTATTCTGTTCCAGAGGTTAATCACCTTGTCTCTTTAAAGAAGGTGCTCATAGTATGAATTTGCATTTGTCTGGTTTTAATTTGCAGATAGTGGCTTTTGGTTATTGCCCTTCCCGCTCAGGAGCTCTGTAGGGCATCTTGCAGGAACAAAAAATATGACCGATACATGGGACTCGGTCACAGGCAAGACTGTAAATAAATGACAGCCTGTAGCGGATCAGGATTTAAGAACCACCAAGATGAGAGCTTTTACCATACTTGCTTATTTCACACACTCGCTCCCCTCTGCCAGCATTACCCAGCTTCTCTCCCCAGCGGGCAGATCGCTGTTGGTCTGGGAAAATCGGGCAGAAAGTGGAACTGGTTCGTACTGTGCAGCTGCTCGCAGTTTCCAGTCTCGGGCATCACTGGCCAAGGTCCCTGGGCATCCCCGGCAATCATCTCCACACAGCTCTCGGATCCCCAGGGTCTTCCTCCACTCCCAGGATCTTTCCTTGCAGCCAGGAGCTTCACCTGCTTCTTTCTAGGCCCCCTTCTTCTTTACAAGACCCCTTCTGTTTGGGCACCCTTCTTTTTCAGCGCCAAGCCCCTGTTTTTCCCAATTTAAATACAGAGAAGGACAATGCACAATCAGCCTCCTAAGTGGTGCTTCTCTCTCATGCCTCTTTTGAAGGATTTAGGAAGTGCCATTTTGGTTTAGTCCAGCCTGTACCAGCCATAGCTAGCAAGTAGCAGGCGTCTGCTTGAGAGTTCAAACGTTCCATTTCAGGCATTAACCCTTACACACACCCACAGCCACGCACCCCTACCTGCTGCCTGTTAGTATTCCCAGTTCAAGACATTTTTTGTCTATGACGAAAAAAGCTATGTCCTGTCTCATTTCTTGAAAGAGATCCAGTCCTGCTAAGGCTGGAAGACTTTACATGAAATAGTGACCCAGTGCTCAGAGCTTCTCCAAGAAACATCACAATGCTTTGCATATTACCAGCTTTAAATATGTAGGGATTAGGAGTTTGGACCCCATAAAGTCACAGTATTATTTAAAACAGTTTGGCCCTTTGTCTTGTGATGTTTTAGACTTCGGAATGTGTCTGGCTCATATTTCAAGTTTGTTTTCTCTTGGCAGAAAAAATGTATTTTTGATCGATTGACAAATAATCAGAAGACACAGGAACCGAGCTTTTAATAAATTTTTATGTTAGATATCAAAAGGTCTAAACTAAAATCACAGTAATTTGTGACACTGTAATGGAACTGTGCCGTTTCTGTAAAACATTAAAATAATATCTGAAAGGATGATAAATGGTTACAATTTGTAACCTTGTTGGCCAGGCTTTTTAAAGGTTATAAATGCGCAAGTAAAAGATTTTTTTTCCATCCTCCCCTCTTTTTTTTTTTTTTTTAAATAGTGTGTTTAGAAGGTGTCCTGAAGAGGAATCTTATGTGTTTAAGATGTTGTTGGTTTCTCTGTCAAAAGATAACATCCTTTAGAACTTTGCGGTTTACGGTGGTATCATTCCCTTCTGTTGTTTTCCAGGCCATTAGTTTATTTGGGCCTAAAAGTTTTCGCTCGATTTGGGGTCTCTGAGTTTTTAAACTGTTCAGAAGCAACATTACGAGCCTGGCTGCAGATGATTGAAGCCAACTACCATTCCTCCAACTCCTACCACAACTCCACGCACGCAGCGGATGTCTTGCACGCAACGGCATTCTTTCTTGGCAAGGAGAGAGTTAAGGTATAACTATCACCTAGGAGTCCTCTAGGCGAGGATTTTAGTGTGTTTGCCCAGGTGCCAGCCTGAACACCTGCAGCTCTTTTAGATTTGTCATTCAAAAGTCATGTATTTATTTAAATAATGGTCCTGGCTTCATAAAGTTGCTCTACCCTTGGCTCTACCCTTGAAGCCTTTTCCTGTGATGCCTGCAGGCCCACACAGTTTCTCTAAAGAGCCTGCTCGTGTGAGGAAGGAATTTATACTTGTAACTGGCACCCATAGGAAAAAAAACTACTTGTTTATCTTTTGGTAACTGACTGTTAGTTCTTTATAGAGCTTTGCAAAACGCACAAGCTCTGTAGGAATATAGAGTCTCAAGACAAGTGCACAAAGTGGAAGGACACCTACAAGAGGATGCAATGTAGAGCTGTTGCTTTGGTGATGGCACAGTAAAAAGCTTCATTAAGGAAAGAGGGTTTGGGTGAGCATGGGGGCAGGGGCGTGAGTGCGGGTAATCTTGGTGCACAGTGAGAGGAAAATGATTACAAAGAGGCAGGATCCCTGCACTCAGGCTTACACTTGCATGGTTCTGGGTACACAGAAATGATCAGATTTTATTGATTTTTTTTTTTTTTTGGTGACACATGATGATATTTCTCTCTCCTGTAGGGAAGCCTTGACCATTTAGATGAGGTGGCTGCATTAATAGCTGCCACCATTCATGATGTAGATCACCCTGGACGGACCAACTCTTTCCTGTGCAATGCGGGCAGTGAATTAGCTGTCCTTTACAATGATACTGCTGTCTTAGAGAGTCACCACACAGCACTGGCATTTCAGCTCACAGCTAAAGACAGCAAATGCAACATTTTCAAGAATATTGATAGGTAGGTCTGCTGGAAAAGGCGGGGGGAGGTCTTGTCAATCAGTTGGTTGGGGATTTTAGTTTGATGTGGATTGAGAGCTACCTTCCAATACAGAAGATACTATTTGAATAGCCGTGTTAATATGTAACCTCTTCCAGAATCCTATGTACATTAATTTCAAAAGGCTTTATTTTTTCCCCATGCTCTGTGTTTTGTAGCACTGTGTGCTTTATATTGTTTGGAAGCATATAAAGATGCTTTTATGGATTACGTTGGCACGGTCCGATTGGAAGCCTCAAGGCTGCATCTGGCCTGCTGCCTTCTCATTGCAGGAGCCGGGGAATGGCTTTTTGGGCGTGCTTGTCACTCAAGCAGCCAGGTGTTGTGTGCTGCGCCTGTGCGTGGCCCGTGCTTGCCAGCACTGCTGCAGTCACACTGGAGAGAGGGAGGTGAAGCTGTGGGACACGTGGCAGCAGCCCCCTGCTCCTGTGCACGCCCATGGCCTGGGAGTTGCCATCGCGTCAGCATAGCTCGTGCAGGGGCAGGGTGGGAGGGAAAGGAATCAGGGCCTGACACTAACAGCTAATGGATTTGTCTACCCCATGTAACGTTTTTTTAAAAAATCTGAGCTTTAAGTAGACTTCCAAGCTAACAGGCAGTGCAACAGAAATGTGTTAGTGCCAATCTTGGAGGACTTGTCCTAGTATTACAGCATTTTGAAATTGAGTTGTAATTTTTAATTGACTTCAGGGAATTGATTTTCATCAGGTAAAGATAACAGAATAAAGGCAGTACAGGAATTTGGGGCTGGAGGAACCTAGAGGAGTGATCTAGTCCATTCCTCCAGCCCCAGGCTATTCATAATTTTTCGGAAGCTGCTCGTGTGCCTGCAACCCCCAAGCTGTGTTTTGCAGTGCTCTCCGGAAAGGGACAAGGAGAGGGCAGAGTTCTCTCTGGCAAGCTTGTGAGCAAGAAATGTTTTTCTTTCCTAGAAATCACTATCGGACATTGCGCCAGGCCATTATTGATATGGTTTTGGCAACAGAGATGACAAAGCACTTTGAGCACGTGAACAAATTTGTGAACAGCATCAACAAGCCAATGGCATCTGAGGAGACCAGCTCACACGTAAGTGCCTGCAGAGCACCCCTTTAGGCATTTCAATGAAGTTTTCCAAGACAACTTCAAGTATCGTTTTCATTCATGTTGTATTGATTTCCATTGTGGTAATGCCCAAAAGACAATTGAATTTTTGACCTCACACCTCCAAGTGTGAGAAAAGACTTTAGTTTTTCAATGCTTTCTGTAACTGCCTCTGCCCTGAGCTGATTTAAACACTTCCTTTTACAAGCCTTCCTTTTGAAGCTATCCTGTGTTCACAAAGCATGGAGGTTGATGCTTTTGTACATGCAAAGTTGTGTGTGCGGTACCAAGCTGGCACTTGTGCCTACAGTTAGACGTGTGGTTATCACGCACACATCTGAACGGTGGGGTTTACCAGAGCCAGCTGATACCTCTGCAGGGGCTGTAACCAGGAACCTGCGCTGACAGGCACGCTGTGGTGTCATCTGGAAGCTGCACACCATGTGCTATGACTCCATCTCTTCTTGAGACCTCTCCACGCAGAACCCTGCCCCATTCCTGCCTGTGCCAACAGGTGTCTGTGCCTTATTCCCATTAGTTGCTTGTACCCTACTGCTCCATAGCCAGCCAGGGCTATTTCCTGAGATGGCGCTAGGTTTCCCAGCCCTGGCAGGGCTTCTGTCGCTGCTTCTCAAGGTTGAGCGCTCTGTCTCTGACCAGGTTCTCTAGGGCAGTGTTACCCACTTAAGCAGAGATCATCTTATCCCTGCTTAGTGAAAACAGTGCTTTGTTCGAAGCACTGAAAAAAATCAGACAATATTGAAGGTCAATAGTATTAAAATAAAAAAAATTAGCTTCCGTCCTTTCTCCATAATTGGACCATTTACACTGTAGACTGTAGTGGGTGCAGAAACCAGTCAGGACTGCTGCCCCTTTATGGCTTAGGGATAGCATTACATCAGTTTAGCTAACCTGCTTCTAGGGAGAGCTTGAGCTCTGTTTTCACAGCAGTTTGAGCTGGAAGTCACAAATGCTGCTGAACTGATTGGCTCCGTGGAGACTTGGCACTGTCCTGCCCAGCACTCCCAGGCTCTGGAGGGCTCTGCACGTGGCACTGCACCTGAGCTCGCCGCTTCACAGTGCCAGAACGCCCACAGCACAGAGGGACAGGGTCTGGCCACTCTGGGACCCGCTGGAGGCCGTCCAAATCAAACAGGAGCTGCTCCTTCACTGTTTCTGCATTGTGCTCCCAGCGCATCTCCTAGCAGTGCGTTACATGGGTTTTCTGTTGTGGCGTAGGCTAAGCCAGGACAGCAGAGATTCCACTTTAGGTCCAAGCTAGCAGAAAAGAAATGTCCACATCTGCAGGCCTCTCTGTGTAGAATTAGCCACTTCCATGTTTCCTCTGTACTTGCCTGTGCACCAGATGGCAGCTTGCTGTGCGCCTGTCGGTTTCTTTTTATGCCCTCCGAGGTGGCACTGGGAAGTCTGCGTTCTGGGACAATGGTTCATTTCTCCCTCTGATAGCTTAAGCATATTCTGAATGGTTTCCCTACCTCCCCTCCTTTAAAAGTCTTTTTCCCAAGTGGTCCTGTAGGATTTAGATGCACAAGTCTTACTGAAACCACAGTGTTCCCAAGCTTGAACGCGTTTCTGGGAATCTCCCTTTTATCCCATTAACGCATTTGCTCTAGCAGTTGCTAAGGTGCATTTCAATGATGTTCATCACACGTTCCCCTGAAATCAGCGTTTTTAAGCTATAGAAAGCATTTTCTTTGATTCACTTTATTTTACCAGTTTATCGCAGAGGTTATTTTTAAAATGTGCAAGAATTGGAGAGCAATAAAACTGCAGCACAAAGCCACCCATATTACAGACTTTTTTTTTCCTAGTAGCAGTTTTTTCTGTTCCTTATTGTTAATGGTGCCTCTTCCTATTTTTGATCTTGAGCAGCAGTTAAGAAGGAGGTCTAATTTGGCAGCTCATTGCTGGGCTACCCATGCTGAAAAAAAATTAACTGTTAAACATAAAGTTAGAAGATTAATGCCCCAATTGGCAAGAGTCACTGCAAAATATCTCCCCATAAACCACAAAGACATTAATTTAGCAGTGGTGGTAAAAAGTATTTATGTTCAATTTTTGATTCAGAGTTGAACTTAGCAGCAAAGGGAAGCCATAATTACACAAATATATTATTTTGAAAACAGTTTGAATGCCATGGTGAGCTGAGGTGGAGGCTTTTTATTACTCAATAAGGAACGTAATATACCTGTGCCCTTCTAAGCTGTTCAAAATCTGGAAGATGATGCCACAGCAGACTTGTTACAAGTTCTCTGTCTCCCCCACCCACTCTCCAGAGCAGTCACTAAGCAGTCCTGTATTTTACTTCCTAGCAAACAGAGACCTTCTGCAGTCAGTCTGCCACTCTTGCATTTTCCAACTCTTAGGCTCATAGGTAAGCCAAGATGCACCTAAGGCCAGAAAGTGTTCCAGGCCTACATTCAAAATCCAGCACAAAAGAGGCACAGAATATATTTTCTTATTTCAAAACCTACTAAAACTGAACGGCACGGTCTTCTGCTTCTAAAAGAATCATAGGCAATTGTACAAGTGAGTTTACCCCTCTGTGCCTGTCTCAGTTTTCTCACCTGTGAATGGAACCTAACTCTAAAAACTCAGGTAAGCAAAACAGCCCCTGCCATCACCACCCCAAAGCTAAACATGGGGTGACCGCAGCTCAGCAGCCCGCAGCTGTGGATGCATGCACATACACACCCCGGGTATGCTGTATGCATTTAGAAAGCAATCAGACTGGGTGCATTCTTCCTACCCAAGCACTGTGGAGATAGTAATAATGATGCATTTACTCGTGCCAGCAGGGATGCAAGCCATAACTGACTCTCTGTTACAGAGTGAAGGCAGCGAATGTGAATGTACAGCCAATATCAAGAATTTTCCAGATAACCAGACACTGATCAAGCGCATGATGATTAAATGTGCGGATGTAGCAAATCCATGTCGCCCCCTAGAGCTATGTATTGAATGGGCTGGGAGGATTTCTGAAGAGTATTTTGCACAGGTATGTGTATTTTTATCAGTGAGAAAATGCATGTCGTCTGCTCTTCTAGTCCACATGGGGTCTACCCAGACTTGTCCTGGAGTCCAAACCTGCTTTTCTTCCCAACTCACAACTGGCTGCTCACTTTCATGCAGAAGAATTTACCCCAGTCAGTCTGTCCAAGTTAGCTAGTTTAAGTTTACCCTGAAGTTTGCAGTACCAAATGGTGGAAAGGAGGTTTTACAGTTTTAACTTTCTCTGTGTAGCCAAAACAAAATGATTGGACTAATATTAATCAGTTTAATTGGCTGAAGTTCGAGCCTGTCACTGTTACAGGTTCTAGTCCCAATGCCTTCCCTGAAGAGAGCGTGAGGAACGATTCTGTGCCTCATGAACCCCTCGATTGACTCATCAGGCTGGCCTTTTCTCTTCTGAGCTGGTACCTGAACTATGGTCCCAGTAGGCAGATAATATGGCAGTCCAGTACTGCAGGCATATGGGCAGTGTTTATCATCTGGGATCCTAAGAAGAGACGTGAATATATTATTTCTTAATATTCAATTTCTCTAACACAAACACATCAGTTTCCTGAAAGTTAAATAGTCTTCTAGTTCTTTGAACAACTGGTAGATTCTTAGTTTTTATTTGCCACTAATATGGAAATTAGCAGCTACAACTGGAGAGACGAAAAGTGGGGCATGCCTACCATCCAAATGTAGATTGCAGATGCGACAGTCATTACTGACAGAAGTAGTAGATAGAGCCTAGAACATGTCTGAATTTCATTTTAATCCTGGGGAGTGAATCCTTTGAGTATTTGATCGCTTTCACGGTAAGATGCACACAGGTCACCAAGGCTGTATCTCCCTAGCAAGGGAGGTATCATGAGCTAGCTTTAAATTGGCTCTCTTTGGTATAAGTCTACCAGCAACAATAAGAGGTGCTAAGAACTGTTCTGCTTTTCATTCACCTCATGTGGTAATTTTTGGGACTACTTTGGTGCCTAAACTATTAAAATGTTTTTTTGTACTTGGATGCTAAGACTGTTGAGCTGATTGGCTCTTCCACCATACTGAGAGCAAGGAAAAGGAAAAAAATTAACCCTCTCTCATTTGTGGGCACAGAGTTAAAGGGCATAGTCTGACTTTTATTAATCTTATACAAGACACAAGCAGAGAAAATAGTGACAGCAACATCCCTCTTACTTAAAAGATAAATGGTTTGGAACAACCACCAGACATGTGGAGAAGGAGAGTTCAAATCTGTCCTCTACTAAAGGAATCTGAAACCCCATTGTCCAGTTTCAGCTACTGAGCCCTAAGCACCAGATCAGAGTGTGTTCTGTCTCACTGGAGCTAAGAGCAATCACGGCACTACCCTAATAGAGTACTTGTGGAAGGGAAGAGAGAATGAGTTCAGTCTCTCTGCTCCAGAAGACACAAGGCACATGAAACTACGGCAGTTCACTTCTGAGGTTCTAAGTTTTGCCTCAGATCTCCTACTGTACTGGTCTTAAGTAATTCATCTAATGCCTTGACCTTTTGCTATTCTAGTGTGAAAGCCAGCAAAGCTCCAGGGCTAACAGGAGGTGTTTTTTTTTCTTAGACTGATGAAGAGAAAAGACAGGGTCTGCCTGTTGTAATGCCAGTATTTGATAGAAACACCTGCAGCATACCCAAGTCTCAGATTTCCTTCATTGATTATTTTATAACAGATATGTTCGATGCGTGGGATGGTAAGTATTTGCACTTTTTTCTTCCTGGCTCTGAGGCAGAAATTTCTATAGCCTAAAATTAATTACTGCAAGCTGGTGATTAGTCCATTTTTCCTCAGGGGCAGTTAATGGTATATATAAGCAGTCAGTATGCTGCACTACACAGGACCTGAGCAATGATTCTCTTGAAGCTGGTTTCACTGTACACAGTACAAGCTTCACAGAAGTTAAGTACACCAGATGATCTATGTAAAGAAGGAAGGAGCAGTGGCTTAAAACTAAGTTTTCATCTGTTTTTTTTCCTTTAACAAAGTATTTCTTTGAACAGCAGAAAAATAAGCTGACAGTGGTTTTGTGCTAGAATAATGTGATAGTCATCATTACTTTAAGAAAGGGATTTGCTTAAAAAAAGAAGACTGAAAAATAATACAGTTTTCCCATTTAGCATTAGCTTACAACTAAAAAAGAGCACAAGTAATTAGAAGAATGTGAATTTCAGACACAGGCAAGGTTGCACTGTTGTTCTGCCCATTCTGTGTATGTAGATATATATATAAAAAGTACAACTTTTTCCTCCTCTTCATTTCAGCATTTGCACATCTGCCTGTTTTGATGCAACACTTGGCTAATAACTATAAACACTGGAAAACATTAGATGAGTTAAAGTGCAAGAGTCTCAGGCTTCCATCGGAAAACAACAATTGACATTAAGGCACGAAAAACAGACCTCTTGATCTACCAGTTTCACTGTGAATCACTTACTAACTTGGATACAAGAGGGATGGTGTTTTCCTTTCAAGTGAACTAAAGACTAACGCAAGAAGGAAATACTTTATCCATCACTTTTAAGCTGCTCTAAATTCTACAACAAAGATGTTTTCATGAAGGGTGTGTAATCCAGAGATGAGTTAAAAACTCTTTGGAACTATCATTTGGTGGCAGAAAAGGTACTTTTGAAGCTAATTTCTACTACTGAATATGCATTAGTCAAATCTTGTAACTGATAGAACTGTATTCACTAACACTTCACACAACTTTCTCAAGCAGAAGGGTGATCTGTTCACCAGTAGAATGAAAATAGGTTGACAAATAAGCATAAAAACCTCCCACTTACCTAACATAAAGTTGTTCCAACTCTGCATGTGTTCTTAAGCTCTTTTGACCATAGTTCTAAGGAGAACATGCACAACAGATGCCCCCCCCCAAGAAATTGGATACAGTGAAAAAAACCTGCACCATTTAAAACAACTTTTTTTTTTTTTTTAAACTATTACACAGGCAGAGTATAAAGCTGTCAAAGTACCACCTGCTCTCTCTTTTCCATATCACATCTTGGTATTAGAGTCAAATTTACTTTAAATTGCTTAAATAACGGAAGAAAATAAGCATGTTCTGTATACTTGGTGCCATCTACCTTTTTCTCTGCCTTCATAGAGATGTTACTGTGCAATGTTTTGTCAAATTTTACATATAAACCATTGTGGTAATGAATTGATCAACACCCTTTTTTATAACGTGGTGTTTGTACACATGGTCATCAATTTTATTAAACCAATATAAATTTTATGACAAGGCCATATATTGTGCTACTTACTTACAGTACGAACCTGTAGCTTTTTTAAAAGAGTTTCCAGGTTATAAATTATATAACAGCTTTATAATTTGTACTGCTTTTTCCCTCCTAATAAAATGCTGTTTTGTTTTGTGATGTAAAAAGTATTTCAAAAGATGTAAATAAGTTAGAAATTGAACATAGTTTTTTTCATTAGTTTTAACACATTAAATTTATGCTAAAGCTTCCAAAGCACAAATGCGTATTTTTGTACATTTCATTTTAATTACATGCAGAACATGAACATAAGTTCACATTTTAGCCTATTCTCAGATATTTTTTTTTTTTTCAGTTAATAAATACTAGCGAAACTGCTGATTTTTAACACTGTGCACTCCAGGCTGCAGGCAAGAGTGTCAAAGCTGTGACTTCAGCTAAGGAGCTAGTCCATTGCTCAGTAAAAGGAAAGGTCCTGAGATGCACTCTTTACCACCCTTGTGCTGTGCTGTGCTAAGAGTTGAACAAGGTAAAGAAAAAGAATGAAACTTAGATGGCTGTGGAAGAAGAGTGACAGTGATCATTGTTTACTGCAGGTAGCTTACATAATGTGCCAACCTTTTTTCTATGTTTTGTACCAAGTTCCTGAAAACAAATTGAAACATTCATAAAATATATGTGCAGAGAAATGTATATAAGCTATATTTTTGTTAGAATTGTAATAGAACCTTACTTTTGTCATAGCTAAGGCAGGTTGCTGTGTATTAAAATGCTGCATTGTGTATATTTGAAGAATGGTGTCTTTGGTAAAGTACCTATATTAATTATTTCTTATTATGTATTTCAACATTTTTCAATGGATTTTTATTCAGATAAGTTGAAACTCTGTTTTTTGTACCATAAACTGTTGGCTTTTATCATTCCTTTGTTTGGAACTAGCGCCCTCAAAGGTTTTAATATCCTAATGACTGAACTCTAGCTGAAGCTTGCATTAGAGAAAAGAATTTCACAAATTTTCAAAGCTTTGTCATCTTTAATTTTATTTGTTAAATACAGCATCACTGTAAGACCACAACCATGTAAAACAGTTTGGTGTGTTATTCTGTCACATTTCTGACACACAGAGGGAAATGTTAATGGAGGAAGGAACATAAGGAATAAAGGTCAGCCTCAGTTCTGGTTCATGAGATAAGGCTTTCATGTGGAATCAGTATATTTGTTGTGAGAGCCTCCTGTTTCTTTCCCCAGCTGAAGACTAAGCAAAAAAGTAATTTGTGTGCAGTGATGTCCTAATGTAGTCAAAGCTTCTTTAAGAGCAGAAGAATCAGCACAGATTAATTTTAATGTCCCAGTTTTGTCAGGTTTCCTGGACTCTAACCCATCTACTTGACTAACAGCTAATTGTTTCATGCTATTGTCATGCAGAGATATTGAAACAGCTTCCTCGGGTTTGTACAAACATTAAGGATAAATCTGATACTTACCTTCATGAGGTTGAACATATGGAAACTTACTGCAAGCTGAAAAATGAAATTTAAAAGGACACTGGATGGAAGCCACATTTATAACCTGATCACCCTAATTCTTCTGCTCACTGTACTTCTCAACAGCAAGTGACAAAAATCTTACTGAAAATGAATTGGCTAATATAGCCTTACTATATTCGTTGTTATGCTCAAACTTTACATGTAAAACTTCTTTGTTCAAATTTAATACCTTTAAACATGGTTGAGTTAAAGAAAGAGACCCTTGGGACATCTGTTACCAACTGAGTGCATCTAAGAACAATGGCACCTTTTTATAGATATAAATATATTTTAAGCATGTAGGACTATTTAAGGCTGAATTACATCACTGTAAAATGCACAATGAGTTTTGTGAATAGAACTGTTCAGTTAAATAGGTCTGTTTCTCTACCAGGTATTCACGCAAAAGCACTCACATAAAAATGAAATAGCTGATTTTTCATGGTATAGGAAGAACAGATAATTAAAAAGGATGATGTTCCTTCTCTCTAGTTATAATTGATGATAGCGGCTCCAGAAAAATTAACTGTTTTAGTAACAATTAACTTTTTGCAAAGTTTTAGTAACAACACACACATATACTTTATATATAGACTAAACAGTTATTTCTCACTTGAAATAAGAAAAAAGAGCTGGAGAGAAACTGGTCTTCCTGAGGTGGTACCTTCACAGAGTAACTGAAAAGACAATGCTTGCTGATGAAGACCAGCTGAAACAATGTATTAGCTAAAGGCTGGCGAAATTAACAGGTAACTCCCACCCCCACTTACTGTAACATACCCACAAAGCATGTTATCATCAGCTGTAATTCAAACTTCTTTCCTATGCCAGTCTATAGCTACCTTTGGAGCAAAGAGCATGCAGTTCAAGCTTTAAAGCTGAGTTATCCTTCCTGAATAGAAAGGAGAGGGGCCTTTAATTATGCCTCCATCTGCTTTGTATTTTTTTTTGGAAATGCCATCTTGGGATCTACACTCAACAGATGAGATGAGCTGTACAAGTTCACAAAGGGGCAGGGGGAATATAGCCCATACTTTTACCATCCCTCTGCTCTGCCTTCCAGGGATGATTATGGTAGAAATCAAGAGACAATGCCTGGATTCGGGAGTGGGGGCAAGCACCCACAGGGTTGGGCAATGCTTTTTTGTTCTGTTTTGAAGAGACAAATTAATTAGATAAATGCACTATAGCAAGACTAAGCTAAACCAATCACATATCATGCTAGACATAGTAATGGTGCTATGTAAACTCCGCTGTAGGTTAACCCACAGTAAAACTATACCAGCTGCAAACTTGCAGTATCTTTATACCACTATATTTTTTCCCCCCCAAAAAATCAAAATCTGGCAAACTGCTGTTGCCCACTACTTTCTTCCTCTTACCCTTGGTACAGGATAGCAGCTTCAGGCATTAGAACTATTTGAGAACAGTCTTCTTTGTAGATACATGTCTGAGCCATCAGTGACTAAAATCTAGCTTTAAGAAATAAATTACATAGAGCAGGAAGCCTCTGATTTGCTGCCATGCCTCCATTCTGCACATGATGCTGCAAAATGCCCCCAAACTTCCTTAGTTACAATCCATGTAAAGGCAGTTAACAACTCTAATTTTCCATATCCATCCACAATGTTTTTAAACATTAGAAATAATACTAGAAACTATTTAATTTGTCATCACTATCTTCAGTGGTTTAAGAGAACACCATTTCTGCTGACAGTAAGCCAAGTAAGTTTCAACCTGCAACATTCTCCTTTGAGAAGCATAGCAGCAAATAACAAAAATATCAATTTTAATATATGACATTAAGTGTAAGCCTTAATGATAGTCACTTTTCTAGTAGTTCAGACTTCCCTTTACATTTAAGGCAGATCCAGTTTATGTGTATATACCCTGTATTCCAGTAACTTAGAATTTGAGTTGTGAGCCACCATTTTGTGCCAGTTTCTGAAATAGTCTTACACTGCGGAGTCTAGATTCCTGTTCACCATCCTTCCACAAAATAATAAGATGGTCAGCAGAACACGTAGCCAGTCCTAGTTCACCAAAGTATAAAAACATCTGCAAAAAAAACGTAACTTGCTTAACATGCAGATTACAGCTGGACTAAACAAATGCATGATATGAAACAAATGTCTGAAGCAATTCTGTTTGAACATCGGGCACGCAAAATTGCAACATATACTGTTTGCCGTCTGCAAAAAAATCCAATACCCAAACAGATTTTCTATAGCATTCACGTATATATCTATGCACACAATCCTCAGGCATCAGTTACTGCTTGAGTTTGATGAGGACTTCTTTAAGTCACTACATGTTGTTATGCTCACACTGGACTAAATATATCACACAATCAACATGTTATTGTTGGTCATTAAGTTTCTTGTGAATTCAGAAGAGCCCAAAGCCTAGGCCTCCCACACAATTCTGCAGTGTGATAAACACGTTCCCAGCCTCCAGAGCCACGAAGTCATAAGTTATAGCTGTTTAAGAAGAAACACTTCCAAAATTACATTAATAAGTGATACTCACTTTTTCTTGTTCTTACTAAAGCTGACCTACCTGCACAGCTGAGGAATGACCAATTAAATCACCAACCAACTCCAAGAAATACGTAGTTGTATTCTCCTGTGTCTTCTTAGCAGCTTGGTTTGCCTGCTTGTTTGCCCTTCCAAATCCCCACATGTTGAAAAACCCTGGAGAAAGAGTAAATCCTCCCTTTTATTATGGCAATAATCACAAATACAATTTCTTTCCTCTAGCTAAAAGGAGAACTATGGGAGTCACTTAACTCAAAAAGCAGGACATGCTGTACAGCAAAATGACAGAAGATTTTACTATGCAGCATTTCTACATCTGGATTATTCATCTCAAGGGGTAAGGGAAATTTAGCCACTTTGTTCCTTGTCCTTACTAAACAAACATGATAGGGCAAACATGTTGAGTTACTCACCTGGATGACACAAGATGGATTTAGCAAGAAATCTAGGAACTGCCTAAATGAACTAACTGAACAGCAATAACATGTACAGGACAGCGATGTTTACCTTTTCTCTGTCCTCCTAAACTGACTGGTTGTCACTTGCACAAAGGAGAAAAAGAAGGCACCAATCTCTCCCCTGTATGCTCTGCACTAATGCGTTAGAATGGTGGCCTATGGGTAACAAGCAAGTTTCTGATGCTCAGTCCCTGATTTTATACTGCCCACTAATTTTCTCCTTCAGATTTAAAACAATCTCCCAAACTGGAGTGTAAAAATAGCCCTCTGCATGTTCCACTAATACTACAGGAAGACACACATCTGCGCCCAAGCCTCCTCCAGAACTGTGTAACGATACTGACAGAAGTAGGAAAGTTGGGTGGTGTACACAATCCAACTCAGACTTTCTTCCTGGCCTCTACCTCAGCCCCATCAGCCCACAAAACAAGAGGTGTGCTAGACTATGGCCCTGGTGCAAGGCAGATCCCAGAGATGAACAATTACTTAGGGGAGTCCTTAAAAAGAAAACAGCAAATCAACAGCAGTTCACGCATCCCAGTACTGCACATGGTTTCTTTCCAATTGTTCTCTCCAATTATAAAAGTTCCAGACATCCAATGTGAAACCAAATACCACGTCACAATAAAAATCTTGAGCTGCGTAGATCAGCTGTGATTGGCAATAGCGGAGATAGAACATCCTGAAAAAGTGTTTCTAAATCAACCTAGACAGTAAAAAAAGATTTGCACAAACAAGACAAAGACTAGACAAGATCCTTGCAAAAATTACTATCAGCTGGTGAGCAGCCGGACAGACTAACTGCATCCAGAAAATTATACACAGCTCTAATAAAAATACTAGAAGAGAGAGAATAATAGCTCATGACTATTCCCAGTCACGCAGTACAAGTGCCTGCGATTATGCTGTCGTGCATCTGACCAAGACCACTACTACCAGTGCCCAGAGCAGCTGCTGGCCTAGCCAAAGGGTAGGAAGAACTACACAGGCAATGTCTGCATGAGAAAGCGCTTCCTAAATCACAAGCAACTAGTAGTGAGGACTGCAACACCCAGAGGTAGTATGCAAGTGAGGTTGTGCAGAGCCTCAAAGGGAGTCCCAATGTTATTTCAAGTTCAGGGAGGAGATGTGTAAAACATGTTTCTCTGTGCCAACTGCTCAACTGCAATCTTGTCTTTAGTTTTCTTCAAAAGCTCTTGCTAGTGCAGCCAGGATACTCTAGCATGCAAAAGTAAATGACTGCACTATCAGTACAAGGATACAAGTGGCTCAGGGTTTGAAGGGAGAGGTAATAATTTTTGTCAGACCAGCTGATAAAACTGGAAACTCTAGATAAGCTTTATGGCACACAACTGCTTCAGTCAGACCTTCTAGCTTCTCAAATCAGAGCCGGAGAGCCCAACATCCTGTTTAGTTTCCCACTCACACCTGCATCAGTAGGTCCAACACAAGACATTAGCTCTTCTGAAAAGCCTATAAGCCTTTCTACCACCGAGTTCCTACAGTTTATGCATGCTCTTTCCCACCCACCACTGTAGGCAAACCTGTTGGAACCGGCTCAGCTGGTAGCTGCTGCTTTTCTCGGAGCTCCCAAATGCGAACACTGCCATCTTCTGAACAGGATATCAGCTGCCTGTCAAAAACAGTTAAAAAGCAGCATTAACTCAGATACTCATCTGCGCAAGTCACCTTGTGAAGTTTCTATAAAAGGCACAGAAAGTGCCTCAGGTTTTACGCAAGTTTATTACAACTCTTAAAATGTAGCAGGATGCCCAGATTTTCCATATAAAACAAACTGTATTTGTAGCACGACAAACTATAATGGACTTGGAAAATAAGTGGGGGGAAAAAAATACATGTTTTCAACCACATTTTAAAAGCGTATTGCTCTGTAAAACAAAAGTCTAGACTCTGCAAGCACAGACTCACAAATGCACTCTAGCAAGCTTACTTATGTGAACATGTTATACGTTAACAGCTTAGAACAGCATATATATTTGCAAGATAAAGGCCCTAATTTTTATCTTCTGATAGACTTCCTATATAAAACAAGAAGTATAAAGGGATCTAACAGCACAACCATTAGATTCTATATATGTAGCAAGCTGGCAATTTTATAATGATGAATTTGTATCTTGGCTATCAAAAAAAAAGTTCCTGCCAGAACTAATTAAAAAAGACTGCAAGTTGTTATTTTCTGTTAATACATTTTGACTCTTCAGAAATGTTTAGTGAAAAATGTTTAATGAATTTGCCGTAGACCTTTGTGCTGCTTTATAGAAACAAAATGCCATTAAGCTACATTTTCACAGTGTAGACAAAAGTGTTTTACTAAGTCTGATTTTTGAAAATAGGAAAGCTATTTTACTTTGAACTTGTGCATCAAGCACACTGGATTATGTTATTTCACATTGAATTACAACAATGTATTTTCAAAAATCAGATCCAACAAGCTCTAATAAAAGCAGATCAAACTAAAGACCAAGTCCCCTGCACTAGAAATTAGATGTAGCTCTGCAGACGGTCTCTAGCCACCCTTCCAAGTCCTGCATTTCTTTACTGCATTACAAAATGTACCATGACTTGTACCTGTTTGGAAGTTTCGCAATGTGCAATACAGAGGAGTCATGAGCAGTTTTCTGGCAGGCAATCACACGCTTCATTTGAAGATTATATACGTATATGCCTTTCCCAACAGCAGCGAACACACACTGGAAAGAAAATTCAATGAAACAACTTACAGAAACAGACACTGAAATATCACCCTGCATGTAATGGATTTCCAGTGGCACTATGACATCATCTAGCCATCATTATCTGGCTTTTTCCAGTCCTCATGCTACTGCTTTACCTTAAACATATGGAAACAGCAAGTTAGAGATAAAGCATGGATGTTTAGGAAAGAACAGGTACTCCGCTACACTCTACGTGTTGTTTCATCTTTTCATTATATTTTTTCCTGTATCCAAGTCTAAGAAGAAACCAAGGATACCAAATATAAGACGTTTCTGCAAGTAAGTATTTATATTCTAATACTGAAACAATACTCTGGGTGTACAGTCAGTGCACAGGATAAACATTTGGTACTAAACATGGGAGTGCAAAACACTCCCATTCAGTACCTTTTTGGTTTTTTGGACATACTTTGTGTTTAGGTGGTTACATGCTGGATCTTCTCCCTGAATGGCCTACTTCCATCTGTTCAGCCCTGATACTAGTGTCTCATAAGAATTCACACTACACCCTTGTCAACCTTCTGCCAAATGAGCGTTTGCTAATCCTGTCTCTTTGGCTAAATCTTCCTTTACATATTTAACAGTGTTTTGACAGACACCGGTTCAACTCTCTTTGTCCAGGTTTTCATTTTGTATGCACATCTGTGGTGGGAGCTCTGAAATTAAGCTCAGATTTCAAATAGCACTCCCTCAACAAAGGAAAAAAAACACTGTGCCTGTTTTTATTATTTTCCCAATGTTGTGTGCAGGTCAGTTCAAAGGCCTTCAACATCACTCTTCCATTTCTCATCTCAGCCTTTTCTCTCCACCAGCCTTCCACCTTGAGACAGGCTCCTAAGTTTTATATAACATGACTGTTCTGCAAAAGGTGCTTTTCACAGATTACACTTTCATTTACACAACCTGGCAAAGCCCTGGTTATCTCACCCCCTAGAAAAAAAACAGGTGCTGAAGCATGAATTGTACACCCATCTTAACAGGCAAGCTAAAAACACATATACACCCTATTAGGGCAGCAAATGCGCTCCTTAGCGCTCTTTCTTAGTACTGCCGAGCCTTTTCACCAACTCATTTGTTTCTAAATGATGTTTTGCCTACAAAGCTCAGTGTCGAATTAGATGAGTTCATCTTCTCTAACTACTTAACCACCAAGCCTGCCAACAGAGTTCCTAACAGAATCACTATATTTTTTGCGAAGAACAATTTTACTGCTTTTAGATAGCAGGTAACAGAATAATTCATCATAGAAATCCATTTCTTCCCACTTTTTAAAGAGGAATTTCACAATACAGACCGATCTCCCCTAAAAGCGCCCTTCTATTTCAAGATATCACACTAGAACCACCTTTTCTTCCTACCACTCAATAGATGGAAATAAATAAAAATATATTCAGAAATTCATGGCCAGAAAAGCTCTGCAGCAACTTGTTTAGGTAACCACTATGAAGGGAAGAGAGTCATGAGGCAGCCTCTGATCCCACATTCAATCTTTTAACCTCTTCTGAACTTCCCATACAGCTTTTTCCATACACACTATTTTTTTCTCCCTTAAATCTCATGTTGCAGCTTTCAAGCAGGGGCTCAGAATGTTTTGAAGCCAAACTGCAGAACTTCTTCAGAACAAGATCACCTTGTTGCTCTTTCCAGAATTAAGCACCCATGGCAGAACTAGAGGAGATGCTACCTTTTTGTTCCCACTCATTATTTCTCTCTCCAGTGTTTTAAGGCTGCTCTTTTCATAAAGAGATAACTACACCGAGTGACCATTCAGCCCTCAGCATACATTCAGGTTTTTCCACAATTTTTACTCTGTTATATTCATTTCCAGGAATCTCTTAATCATTCCCCAACAATGTGCCTACAAGCCCCAGAACAGAATCCGACTGCACCCCAACAACAAAGTTGGTAACATTTCACAAAAGTAAATAACAACCTGAGGATTCCTAATGTTTCCAGGAAAATAACTGGGTTCTGCCTAAATATTGTGACCAAGCACTCCTGGATTATCTCCAAGACATGATTACAGTAGACTCTGCGTTTTAGACCCATTTTTGTGCTCTTTACAATTAAGCATACTGCTCAAGCCTATCTGAACAGAAGCAGCAATATTTATTTACTACTGTGCACAGACTGCAAATATGCCTATTGTTTAATTCATTTTATAGTAGCCTCAGCTGTAATTGTCCAAGAGGGGCATGTTTTGGAAACTGCAATTCCAGAACCATGGATTAAGAAGGATGTACGCCATCAAAACACGCACCTCGTTAATATTTTTCCAGTGGTAGTGTAAACAACTAATATATCTTGTCAGTCAAGAACAAATGCTGTTGTGACATTCCTTATGTTAGTTCTCAGACCATCGACATATTATAACCTTGATTTGGTTCAATGACTAAATTTGGAAATAAGAACTGCTGACTGTATTAAAATAGTTATGCACATTTTAAATAATCCCCTTGCATTACTTACTGCAACAACCAAACTGAAAATACAAAATTAAACACTCAGCCTTCTATGGCAAGGTCATGCTGGTTGCCCAGAGGAGTCTCTGTTTAAAGCTTTTCACCTCCTCATCAGAAGCTAGGTGTTGAACTGAAGTTTCATTTGGACTTTGGGATAATTTTATTTCTGGCTGTGCATCTATGTGGAGAGAAGAGTCCCAGAAGTTGCACTCAGATGCTTGTTTTGTCCAGTCAAGTGCATCCCAAACTATTAATTCACCCACATGAGAACCTGTCACAAAAGTCAAATCTAGAAAAAAAACCACACAAAAATCATGTGATATAAATAATCCATTTCAAATAAGGTTACAGCCCTAGAAAATTATAGTAAGTAAGCCCATCTTAGAGTGAAGCTATTTAGAATGTATAGTATGTAACTGACTGGACAAAATCCTCTCCTCTTGAGTAAATACTCATTTGATTGATTATCTAGTGCACCTTAGATTAGCAAAAGGAAATCAGCGCTTTCATGCAAAATTAAAACTAGCAAGGAGAATATTCACCTGCTACAACACACAGCATGGCAAAGGCAAGGAACACCAGCAGAAGAATGTACAAGTATTTTGAACTTCATTTGTTGCCTACCTGCAAAACACTTCTATTCCTTGGACAAGCAGGTAGGTCAGGGGCTCTCAGATGCAACAAAGTATATCTTTGCCGTGATCAGAAACACAGATTAGAAACTAAAGAGGTGAGTTAATGACAGGACTGAAGTAGCTTCCCATGAATTTGTTAATCACACATAGAAAGGAACTGCTGCAGCGACAGAGCAGATAGCACGTTGCCTTTTTAAGCCCAACATTGTTTCTCTTTCATAACCGAAAGAGGAAGAAAACAATGGAAACCCAGAAAACCCAGAAACTACTGTCACAGAACACAAGCCGCCTTCTTTCTAGATGTCTTCACTGTACCACAGTCCCTTTGTGTCAACCTGGCTGACACAAAAAAGCCAAGGACAAAGGTACACTCTCCATCCTGTCGGGATGTCTTGGGCTCAGAGGGAGCTCCAGAGAAAGATAGAGAAGACCCCAAAGTAGAAGGGGTTCCTAATGTTGCGCAGACACAGGAGATGTTAAAAAAGGAAGAGAATTTCAGGTAATAGCTCGGTATTGCCCTGATGAGCAGCTTCAGATTACACAGGCTTCCAGAGCTTCTAAATAGTGGATGTATATGCAGGCCCACATCCTCACACCCAGAACTTTCAGTTAGCTTGGACTGCAACTGCAAAGGGACGTGGCTGTACACGCTAAATTTCAGATAGCAGAAGGAACCAAAAAAAAAAAAAATGTTTTTAATTTTCTCAACTGGAAGACCAGCTGGAGTCCTATTCTTTTCACTGACATTGTCTCTTTTGATCTGATTCTAAATTATAATCTGCCTAGTTTCATTTCACCACTAATATATAGGTAAAGCCATTACATATTTACATTTCACTGTCTTTGCAGCTATACAGGAAGGTTCATTTGCCAGTTAGGAAGTTTCAATCCCGTTATGAGTCTCGTCACAACAAAAACACCATAGCTGAAATATTCCACTGACAACTAACACCACTACTAAGTCATCAATCTTACCATTGACGCTGACCAACGACAAGATGTTATCCTGATGGTCAACAATGCGTTTTACTTCAAGGACATTCCAACCTTCAGGTCTATCAATCAACCTAAAAATGACTTCAAAGATAGACAGAAAAATTGTCTAAATAAGCTTCATCATTCAGAGTAAAATGTAGTTATGTTTAGATTAGTTATGTTTAATTAAAACATATCACTTTTAGACAGTCACAAACTAAAGCATATTATAAATGAGAGTGCAAGAGGTACAAGGCAGCTTACAACAGTCTCTAACTGGTTTCCTCATAACATACAAAAAATATTTGAAAAGAATTTCTTGAAAAAGCTGTTTTATAGTCTCAAGTAAAAACTCAGACACTTTAAAAATGAAAGTCCTATATTCATTTTTAACTACTATAAAATTGGAATCACTTATTGTGGTGCTATTATTAACATCTCTCATTCCTGCGACTATAGGATAAAACACTTCAGTAATTTTGGAATTCAGAGAATCAATCAACGTCACAAGCTGTAGAAAACAGAAGTAAACATGATTAGATTTTTTTAATAATCTAAAAGAGTAATATCTTTCTTAAGCATTTTATCTGACTGAATTATAATATTCAAAAGGATGTCATATTCTCTAATAAGTCCATCAAATTTTCCAGGACTTAAGGCTTTATTTTAACCAGTCTTGGAATTTCTTTCATGTGATCTCAAGGGGACTGTAAAAGAACCACGGGAAGTTCAGATGAAAGTTTACATTAAATACCAAAGTCTAAACACAATAAGTCTATTTTTATTTTGCTCCCGATTCTTTGATCGGAACACCAGACTGCTATGTATTTAAACATATTGAGCAAAATCTGTTGTTTTGTTGACTCAGTGTATACTTTACCTCCTGGAATGTTTTCCATATTCTGATCTTTGAATGTTTTCATAAAAAACCCTCCTTTTCAAAGACCCTCCCCACTGACATATCTAGCGAAAGATTCACAATTTGCACACCTTAGAAAGGCCTGTCTCCAAGTGAGCATCACAAACCATCATATTGTCTCATTATATTCTTGGTATCAGTTCATTGGCAGTACCTTGCACTCATGATCTTAGGATAAGGATGCTCTAGGGAAGCCTAGTAAATGCAGAGTCAAATTAGTGAGGTAATCTGACAGCTCAGATAATGAGTTCCAGACCTTCTCCAGAAGGAAAAATGTAGGTTTCCACAATCAGAACTGGACAGGTGGCATAACAGTAGTAAACAAGTATATAGAAGAGTTTTATCTGCAGATCTCAAACAACTTCCTGAAAGAAATAAGCATGGTCTGCCAATCTGTCAAGTAAGGGAAAAGAGAAGGAGGTTGCTGATCACAGCCTGATACCATCTACTTTGCCTATACGATTCCAGCAGCATGGTCTGCACACCCATCTTGGATAAGCAGCCGATTACAAAACGTGAAGATTTAACAGAAATGCAATATACTCACTTAGCTCTTTGCCCACAGCTGCCGCAACACAATTTTTAGGCAATTCGATCAAAGCACTGATACCTTCAAAAAACACAGTAAATAAGGGAGAAAATGATATTCATTGACCAAATGAAATCACAGTGAACTACAATTCCTTTTAATAAATTTCTTCATATTCCTCTTCCACAAATAAGCTAATAGCAAAATAAAAGTGTAGTACATGGAGTGAAAGTAAAATCGCATCAGAAAAGAACAGGTAACCTCAGACAGAGATAGTTAGGAAGTCTGAATCAGGATGCAGCAGAATTCGAACACGAAACTTCAGGTATGAGGCGAAGTTGGGAATAAGTAATCTTTTTATTTTAAATAGCGCTAAGATATTTATGTTCTAACGGTGGAAAATATTAAGAATACTGTGGTAATTATCAAGACTCTAAAGGTACACAATACCAAAGTTATGACCAAAGTTACTGACGCTACCACAGTATGCATTAGATTAATCTTGTGCCTATTCTGGTTCAGCTGGCCCTGCACAGTTTGACTCAACTTTTTAAATGTCCAGCCTTGCAGTTATTCTGCCTTCGCCATGCCAAGACTTCCCCCAACCTGTGCTGCAACACATTTATGGGAAAATTCCCCAAGCAATAAGCAATCTGTCCATTTTCCCACAACATATCACCAGGGAAGAGAGGGTCATGCTATAAATCCTATCAACTCGTTACACAAAAGTTTCAATAGCTCCTCATGCTAAATATTACAGCACGACTTGCAATTGGTATTTAGCATAATGCTCCATATCAAACCAAAATAAGTATTAGTATCCTGAAAGATTCAGGGGTGTTGTCTACCACTACTCTGTTCTATGACCAAAAAAAATGGAAAAACATTGGTTCCAGCTTTAAGTTTGATTCATGGTTTCCTAGCTGTCTTTGTTAAGCATGACAATAATATGCAAAAATTTTCTTTGCATGGCTAGATAATACATAAACTTATTACTAGAAAAGTATTACTGACACTGAGATCTGATTACATTTACTATATTTCTATCGTAACCTCCATTTTGTATATAAAGCGTATTAATAAGAAAAAGAAAGCTTTACTACTTTACCGCTACTAATCTTTACTAATGGAAAAAAAATTCAAGCTCCCTCACAGAGGAAGCCTGCCTACGGATCTGGTCCCCATTACAGTGAATATGCATAAACCACTACATGAGGGCTAGCCCTGCAAGTCCAAGTTAACGTACAGTTACTGAGATTTGACGTATTCTAAAATTCACATAGCACAGGAGATTAAAAGTAGTCTTAAATTTGAAATGATTAAGTTTGACATTTTAAAAAATAGATATACTGTGCCTTTAATAGATAATGTTATCATTAGAATTAAAGAGATTTGCCAAGTTGGTTTTGCATCATTATACAGATCCATTTTACTTGCACCTTAACAGCTATAATGAGTCATTTACATTTTTACCTGCATCAGTAAGATGACTGGTCTTACACAAGAGATCTAATTTTCGGTTCCAAACACATAGATCACTCCCTCCAGACAACCATACATCCAGTCTTTGAAGAACTGTCAAACACTGCAGAACAAAAACTAGATATATGTCCCCTGCAAAAGTTCTACAGGGAATTTTTCAGTAAAATGATCATCGGCTTTAGCCAGCTCAAGCTTTAAGTACTATGAAATATAGTATTGGAAGTGTCACCTTCCTGAGAAATACAGAAATAATGTGTTACCTACCATGTTACATAGTATCATTTTTTAATCAACAATGCAAAATTCGATTTTTCAGTTCTTTATACTATTAGTATTCAAGAACTAGTTTCACTGTAGATTGTCTTTTCCAAGCCAGTAATAAAACTGAGCCATAAAACCACCTCTGTTCTACAGTCTTTTCAAAAAGAAATGGACGTATTAAGAGCTCCACAAAAAGAGATTTTAATAATTGTGTCTGCTTCTCAGCCACTCCTCTCTTTAAGGGTTATGTGCTCCTGACTAAATCAAACACTGCTGTTCGTTTTAACACAACCCCCCCCCCCAACATGGCACATGAGCTCTTATACATAATAGATTGTGTATACAACAAACAGACATACCTCGGGTTTCTCTGCTTACCTTTACAGTAGAATGGAAACAAGACACTCTCTGAATCTGTTTGCCGCTACTGCAGTCCCAAACCTGACTTCATTCATTAAGGAAACCAAAAATGATTTTATGTGTTATAACTGCTATGTTGTAACTAAAGGACAGATTCGGAAAAAAGTATGGAGAGACCCAGTCTTCTAAATCCTGATTCTCTTTTCAGTATTTGGCCAAAATGACATATTCATAATGGTTTGTTATTTATTCATTTTTGCAGTAGAGACTGCATCTAGTTGTGAGCAATGGCTAATAAAACCCTAGGGTAATCCAATTATACCTATTGGATGTTACTATCTAATAACTTTAAACAGCCTGCAGCCTTTAAAAACAAAAAACAACAAAAACTCCACAAGAGCTGAACCCTCTCCAGATCCAAGGATCCAATAACTGTTCTATCAGCTGATGCTGTTAATATCAACTGATTGTTTTCTCCAGAAGCATCTGATGAAAAAAATGGTGCAATAGCTGTAATTTTGTGTGTATGTCCATGTAGTTCAAAAAGTTTCTCTCCAGTCTGAAAAATAAACACATGAAAAATGAAGGGTAACATGTAGAAAATACCTACTGTATCATATGACCAAATTACTTTCCAAAAGAAGAATTTCTAAGAGTCTAAAATCTCACTTTCTACAGTCACTTTCGGATTTACATCTCAACTAGACCTTTAACACGTCAAGATTTTACTCTATAACTAAATAATATATGAAGCATATCACTCTAGGCATAAAAAAAAGAATCTCTGGAAGAACTGAAGAACGTAATTTGTATGTTAAATTCATTTCAACAGAAATATTGGCCATTGAGTCTATTTAACTGATATCATGGTAATTCTGAATTGCTATCAAAACCCTCTCTTGAATTAATCTGTTTTTATTTTAGTGTTTTGAAAAACTTGAGCTATCTTTATGGCAAACACAGTACTGCCAGCTTTATTTACTATGAACCTTATCTATAGCTTCAAGCTGGTGGTTTAGAGAATTCTGACCACCTCTCTTTTGTTTATTTAGATGGCAAAACCTGATAAACAAACATGGAGAAATATACTGGTCTTTTAATCAAGCAATTAAAATACTGAGTAGTTATAACTGTACACTTCTTTACACTTCTGGGTTAAGTTTTAAAATTAAAAATAGAAGACTTGCTTTAACAAAAATGTAGTAAGAATCCTACAGAAGTAGAAAATGGAATTCTATTCCTAAGCTGGACTTCTAAATCAGTTTTACATTCACGGATTGCTCAGAACACCAAGCATATATACTCACATACATATGTCTGAATACTCAAAACCAATTTCCTTTTTCAAATAACAAGGTTATAAAAGACCTTCAGCAACTGCAAAGAACTAATTGAAACAGCTCAAAACAGAAGGAAGAAAAGCTCCAAGTTCCCCTTCCGTATTTTAAAACTACACCATCACAAATGTCATACATTTTTTAGATGTTACCATAACAGCTTATGGTCTAAGATTTCTTTTTGATATTTCCAGTTTAGACAGTGCACTGTATCTGCCTTTTAGACTATTTAACATCTACCTTGCATACTAGGCCTCCTAAACGCAGGTCTAACACTCTCCTCTACTCTATAATTTTCTCAAGGATATGGAGACACAGAGCAGGAGAGCAGAACGAACGGTACCACACTTACAGAGCACTATCTCCATGATAAATCTAACATCTTAAAAGGTTTCCAAAAGTTGAAATAGGATTTTTATCATAGCAAGCAAGTAAGGCCTTGTTTCCGCACTGCACGAAATGTTTAACTTCCACTGACTTTGATGTCTTTCTGGTACAGTTTTGTGCTAGCTCTCCATTGAGATTAATCAATTACATTGTAAACAGTCATTCCAAATACAGTTATTAAAATAAACTTTTAATTTTATTAAAATAAAAGTCGCTAGCAGATAGCAGCAACTAGCTACATATTTGTGGAGTCAATAGTCAGCCTCTCAGCGTTAACAGCAAACACTGAATTTATTTTAAAGGAAGAATTCAAGTCACAAGTTCATATTCATCTCTGTTCTTCATGTCAACATTTCATCTCTAATTTCTGTAAAGTCACTATGCCCTCCCAAAACATTTATATTTAAAAACTTATCATTCTCTTGGGTTCACAACACAACTTTTACCTGCCAAGGTCTTTTCGGTAAGCTAAAACTGGACTGACACAATCCAGTTTTACATTATGCAAACAACAGCTGATATGAACCCATGCAGCAATTCTTATTTATTCTGCCTTTTAGCTAGGAGAAATTTCCAACTCCTCTCCCCAGCTCCTACCCCATCTCTCTGTCAGAGCACACAACCTATCCAAAACACAAACGAACCTGAGCATTCCACAGAAATATGACTCCATCATCTCCTGCAGAAGCAAACCTGATTAAAAAAAGAAAAAAAAGAAAACTTTAATATAGCATAATGCAATGGAATAGCAGTAGATAGTTAAACAAGATAAATATTTGCAGGATATATCAGACTCTGACTTTAATCTAAAGAATAAAAATATATCCGAAAATCCCAATTACAGTTTATAAACTGAAGTCAGTATATTTAAATAGAAGGTATTTGTCAACATATACTTAATAAAGAACAAGGCTTAAGAATTCCAACATATGCTATTATAAATATAAGCCCTCGTTACAGAACCAACTCTCTTTTTGATCAAAAGTTAGTATGAGATCTTATACACTGACCGAAACCAAATTCTAAAACCAAATTCTATTAGTCAGAGCCAACAGATTGCAGGACATCTAATAGGTTACAAACCACTCAGCCAAGTTCAGCCCAAGGGTAGAGGAGCCCAATGTTTATTATGATATTTTAAAGAGTGGCTTAAAAGAACTCCCAAAGGGAGTGCATGTAACGTGCAGAATATGACCTCTGCTAAAAATTCAGCTAAAGGGCACACCATACTAGGAAAATATGGGTTCATTTTAGTCTGTTATTAGACTGCTAATCTAATCTTAACAACATCTGACTTCAATTCAACCTTTTACCTACGCTAGACAGCATATCTGTAACAGCCTGCTTACATTTGCACCTTATCACCAACACAGCTAAACTGAAGCTACAGCACAGACACAAGCTTTTCTAGTGAAGGTGTACTTTGAGTTAAGAGAGCCAAGAACAGAAGCAAGACCTCCCACAGAAATTTGGTTTCAGCTGTTATTTGGAAATATACCTTCTAATTTTTTCCTCTTGTTTTAGGTGTTAGCCAAGGGTTAAATACAGTTAATACTAAAGGATTTAACCAAGATTTCTATTGTTTGCAAAGAAGCCATGAAATAGGAGAGGTTATATCACTTCTGATTACTTTTTCCTGCTATCATGGTTGAATATTTTCATTAACTGTATAAGTGACCTTTCTTTTAGACTCTTACTTAGCAGTCATGATGCTTATGAAACTTGCCAACAGAGCAAGCTTTCTGACATAAAGCTGTAATTTTTTTCTTCTTCTCTGAAATGCCCTTGCTTTTTTCTAACACAGTAAAAAATATGCCAGTAAAAAAGTGTATTTTCTTCATATCTTTCATTAATTTGTATTCATTTATCAAGTCCCTTCTTCGAAAAAGATTAGGGCAAAAAACCCAGATTTTTTTATGCACACCTCAGATAACATTAATTTTTTATCTTTAGTTCCCTTTCAGTTCTACTTTTATCTTGTTTTGTCATGAGGACAAGAACTTAAAACAGTAAAACTTTCAAATTTGAGCAAAAGCCCTTTCAATTCCAATTCATTCTTGATTTACATTGGAACTGTGTGCCACCCAAACAAAATTCTTTAAAGAAAACTCATCTTTAAAGGAAGGAATGAGGGTAATTCATCAGCACAGAAGTTGTACAGAGTGCTGTTTTGTGTTTTCACTTTTCCTCTTCTAAGCAGAATTTCTGTTTAAATATAAAGGTATAGAGTAGAATCAGTTATCCTACAGATGTATTCTGTTCACCAAGGTGCAGTTTCATGGGTCACCTGATTCTTTTCCAGTCATGATCACCATCCTCTATAACCTTGTCTGTTTCCTGAAGGAGCAAGGAATGGTCAAATGAGCAACAAAGAAAGTTATTCCTAAAATGTGTTATGAACCCTGTTTAGTTTAATGTGTCAAATGCTAGAGTATTACATGCAATTTTATCTCAGTTCATTTTTTAGAACATTCTTGCTGAGGCTTAGCCTTCTTTGGTGATCTTCCAATCAATATGACCCTCACTTCATGTTCAAAAAATACAACAGAAAAGAAGAAAAAAGCAGCTTTCTGTTACATTTATACAGGATTTATTTAGTACCTTCAAAAACCAATCTGAGAAAATTTTCCACTCACTGGTTTTAGCTGAGCCACTGAGAAAACAAGAAAATCCTTCTGCAAAATTCTCAATAAGATGATATTATCTAAAGACCTGAAGCGTGAAACTTGGCTTACAACAGTTGACAAAAAGCACACAACGGAATGGCTGCAAAAACTAAATAAAAACATTTCAGCAGCTGAGTAACAATACTAATTTTATTGAAAAGAATCAAGTGAAAAATATTATCAGCTGTTTAACAATGCAGAAACTACTATATTCTTGATAAATAAAACCTTAGAATTATTGTCTAGTGAAGTGACTGTATCAAACACCCCTCTAACCCTCAGAATATTAACTGGCTATATAACTTACTTCTTATCCATATGTTATTTTATAACCTATCTTCAACCTGGCCACCCACGCTTTAGTTTTACACTGATTAGTATTAGTTTAGCTTCAATAACGGACCTACTCCTGTACCTGCAATGTATCAGTACACTGAAGCCCAGAATAGTAAAAGACTTTTTTTTGCACCAGGAAGTGCCTCCAGTCTAAAAATACCCTAGTATTTCCATAAAAACCAATTACATTTATTCAGTGTATATGTTTTGGAAAAACATGTATTTTGAGGAAAGGTTATTTTAATAACTTGTCTGAAAAGGAAAGGACTGAAAAAAAAAGAATCTGCTATTTTTCTAAGAATCTTCTGGTGAACTACTTTAACACAAAAAATAAGTTTTATAGAAATGCACGCAACTTTTCTGGAATATATTTATGACATTAAGAATGAAAACTGACAGGCTAAAAATTCTCCATGAAGCCTTCTGTGTAAGTTATATATATATTTACAAGATGATTTGGAAATAACAATCTGCGGGCATTCTGAATTGGACAAGACCACCTGCCTGATCAATACACATGGGGAAGGAGATAACCGTCTTCCTTCACAAAATGCCTGCTATATACTGTGAGGCTACAAACCAAACTCTCACTCATGTTATATTTGTATAATCTATTGATGAACGTGTTAAAAATGATCTTCTGTGCTTAACCTATAAGAGAGAGAAACTATTACAGCTCCTTAACACAGAGGCTCCTATCTGTTACTTCACTTCTTAGTTCTGAAGGTTTCCTATCTAATTCTCCATATCAACCAAGAGTCAATATGCTTATTACTGACTAAAAACTCCACAACCTTACTTTTTAAGGCAGCTATGTATCTTCTCCTCTCCTGTAGGATTAAGTTAAATGAGAGAACATACAACGCTAATTTAGACAAAGCTAGGGACAGAAGCCAGGTCACTAATATGAGTGTCATAACTCATTCTCTCAGTCACACATACACAGTGACAATGGCAAATCTAGTGCCATCACCCCTGCTTCATAACCAGTTTTCCAGCCTTAGATGACTCCTTACACAGAGTTCATGATTGAAATCGGACCTAGAGAGCTAAGAACAGAACGGATAACAAAAATTGTCATACACAAAATGCCCAAAGCTAAACATTAGAAGAGAAAAAACAAAGGAGCTGCAAGGATTGGAAGCAGTAAAGCAAGTTGAACAAGAGGAAATTGGAAGAGATATGCAATATGGAGATACATATATGTTGAGTAAGGTTGAGTAGGCAGCCATTCAGAATAGAATTAAAGTGGTGAAAATTTCAGTCTGAGAAATCTAGAAAAAAGTTGCATTAATCAAAGCTCAAGCGAATGCAGCACTAGAGTTTCAGAAGAAAAGTACAACACACACATGGCTTTAGGCACCACTAAAAAAGTAGAGATGCGGGAGACATGACAAAAGATTGGAAAGAAAGGAAGAGGAATGATCAATATTATTGAGAATGTCATCTGCAATTGCTAAATTCAGGGTATCTGCAGGAGTCATATTAAGTTCTTCTCTAAAATCAAAAGGTGAAATAACAGCTATTCTCAAATTAAAAATATAAAATACATGCATCCACTCAGAACAGGCAGGCACTATGGTGTATTGTCCTGGGAGAAAGTGTGTGTATGCATGTGCAGAAGGGAAAGTTCAACCCAGAAACAGCCTGAAAAGAAGGACTGAATTAGCTAAAGGCATATCTTGTAGTTAAATGAGTTTGTATCAAGAAATCTAACTCCATCACCATTCTTTTCTCATAAAAGTATAACTTATGGGACAAGTCAAAAGAATTAAATACATACTGCAAAAAAGGGGGCTTTTATTCCTTGCCTTTTTACACTCAGTCTCTTTTCCTACCCCACCACCACAAAAAAAAAAAAAAAAGGTAAACAAAATGCTCAGAATTTGGATTTTTTAATTATGTTCCCTCAGGTTCTGTTGGGGGGAAAAAGGATTAAGAATATTTCTACATTTTCATGAACATTCACAGAAATATTCTTAAGGATGCTCTGAAGCAATTAGAAATGCAATTTCATACCTGCAGTCATCTATTTGTACTAGAAATCGTACTATATCTTGATGACCTTTCAACACAAGGAGCTCTGTGTAAGGATTCTGTATTTGTTCTTCACCAATGGTCTGTACAGATGATTTCTAAAAATTCATGAAAAAGGAAAATAAAATTTATTACTGATATATTTTTTTTCATTAGGTCTTTGCAGTGTCTAGCACTATGCATATATAGATTTGTTTGTGAATGTATAGTTCTATTTGAAGTTATATTAATTTAAGTTTCTGAATTATAACTTTGCCTTAATGAAAACCACAACCCAGGATCATTTCTTTTATTTCAAGTAAATAATATCCTTCTATAGCAGGTATTTTAAATTATAATATAAACATTTTGTGTTTTCCACAAGCATTTTGTCCTGCTTTAATCACTGATCTATCAAGATGAAAAAGCAGTTTAGTCACCAGCTATCATGTGGAGTCAGCTTCATGACACAATACACCATCCACTCAGTTTTTCATTAAACTACACATCTTCCGATAGGTCTGTGAACTTCTCATACCCTTCATCTACAATCCAATTTTTAAATACTATATAAAAATGACACATTTAAAACAAATAAGAACAAATGTTTTTCTGTTGTGTAATACATAAATCATTCCTTGGGTCTCTATTCACGAAGTGCTAAAGCCAACAGCTTAGAAAGACGTCAAAAAACGATTAATCATTTTATAGAACAGCATCTGCAACTACCCCAGCTAGACTATTAATTAAAAGTACTATCAATCACTCAGAGCAAGCTGATCACCAGTCAGGGTCAAGAAAACATTGCATAAGACTACAATTTCAAGGCATAGACAGTTCTGCTAATCTCAGTCATTGGCTTGTTTCAATATGACAATTTTTATGTGTTTAAAATCTCTAGTATTCTGGAAACAACTTGTTATTAGACATGATTTTAAAAAAAAAGTCTGCATAGTTTGGTAGTAACTCAGTGACAGCACTCTCATGCTTCCAGCTTTATTTTACATGACAGTGAGTGTCGTCTTCTTTCTTCCAGAACTGTCTATTCTTTGAAGCGTCCAAAAGAATCTACTCCTAGCACTACTGTATAACAGCAATTACATTTAGCATACAGGAGAGGTACGCCTACATGAAGGACAAACATAGTTCCCTCAGAAATGTCACTATTTTCTTGCAGAAATAATAAACTACTTTCTATTACTTCTGCATTGGTCCTATGATATTATTCTCCACAACTTAAGAACGACAACATTAATAAATAGGGAAAGTAATCTGTTTATTTTTAGAACTAAGAGGTTGTCAGTATCCTAGTTCTTGTGATTTTATCTTGGTTTTGTGGTATCTGATGCATTTCATGAAGCAACTGTTCCTCATTTTATGCAATTATGTGAGAATAGCAGTTCCTGCTTAAAATAATGCAAGTGTAGTCCCCATGGTTATAAAGAAAAGTGCACAAATACGGAAACGACAAGTTCAGTTGCCAAAACGCAAATCAAAACCTTCTTTAAGAAAAAAGTTTGACAAATCTTAGGCAAATATCAGCATCATTTAACAGATGGCATTAGCAATATTGCAGTCAGAAGATTTCCAATTTTTATTTACTAATAGAAAAATACATTCATAAAATTGTAACACTGCTTAGAACAAGTTTTTTTTCTTTTAGAAATTACGTTATTTCTAACATTAACATTGCAATATGATATTCCTTTGTTGCTTCATAATCAATATGAGATGGTGCTACTTCTTTTGAACAACCTGTCCAATCTTAATTCTGTTATTTCTAAGAACGCCTGTGAATACTGAAAGGTATAGTGCTGATGAAGTACTTTACATACCAACAAAACGAATTCAGTTTTTCCTCCAGGGCTGTCATATACAAGCTATTCCCTTTTCAAATCTTCATTAATATTTACTGAATGGGTTAGGAGTGTTTTCTTTACTTAAGGAAATCTCTTTTTGTTTAAACAACTATTAATTGAACTCTGTTGTAGTACTATCAAATTTTTAGAAGAGAAAAATAGATGCTGATGCTAACAGAACCTATTCCCAACTTCTACGCTTTCATGTAGGACCTGTAAGCATCACCACAATAACCAGTAAAATAACCACAACATTCATCTCAGCTTCAGAGCTTCCCGTAATCCCTGTAATTTGACATATTTAAGAGTGGGATTTTCAAAAGCAGTTCACTGAAAATACATGTGCAAGAGTATATAGATATACTTGTGTATGTATCACAGAGCATGACAAATTAGCTTATATGGAGTACTGTGTTACTGCAGTTAGATCGCTCCCATTATCAGAGCTACTCTGCTTAGAGACACACACCATGGCCATCAACTTAAGAGATTTAGGTGCTTAAGTCTAATTGATTTTCAATTCCATTGTTAAGAAAGAAATGGGTTAGGATAAATTTACATTTCATCAATTTAAGACAGCTTTGCCAAAGGGCTTTTGCCATTCACCCAGCGCAAGGTCAGACTTGAATGCATCTGACCTCTTTATCACTGGCTGAAGGCATAGCACATGTAACTGAAACATGTAACTGTCTATAGCCCACACACTATTATGGGCTTCTTTACCTATATCGTAAGAGGACAGAGAGAATTATGGGAAATGAAGATCATCTTCAGATGAAACAATATTACTTAATGCAGAGAAAAAACAGCATTTTAGGAGTGACTCTTATGAATGTATATTATTCAGTTTTGCACAGAGAAGCAAATATATGAACGTATATTATTCAGTTTTGGACAGAGAAGCAAAATGACCACCCTCATTCAGCAAGCTGGTAGCAGCAACGGCAACAGAAGTCCAGTGGATCAGATTTAAGACAGCTAAAAACAGCAGAATGAAAAAAATGGAGGGTATCTTGACTCATGCTCATAATCAGAGCTTAAACTTTGCAGACGGCCACTGCACAGCAACGTAGCTTTCTAGCACATCATCGAATACTATTATATATTCCCCATCTTCTTTTTAAAAAAGTACTGTACAAAAACCTGCTAAACGTGACCGTAACACAGCCAACATTTTGACAGAGTACAAAAGTCTGAGGTATTCCTGGATATCAACATTCCAAACTGGTACAGAGTCACATTTCTACCAAAGTAAATACCAGCATTTACTACACTAGAATGAAGTATCGTCATGGCATACCCATGTTTAGTGGCTGAAGAAGAATCGCTTCCTTGCATTTGTCTAGATTGCGAAAGCATTACAGCTAAGGAGCCCAGTAATAGCGTTCATTAACTCTGTTAAGGAGAAGCCCAGGCAGAGAAATTCAGAAGTGTTAGGGACAAAGAAATCCCAATGGAGCATCCCTCAAATACAGTGAAGTTGTATTTCAAGTGACTCATCAGGAGGGATACCTATATTTAGCGCCTTACATAGACCCAGTTTACTTTACAGGTGAGAAACCGAAAAGAAATGCTAAAAACCTATTACAGACTACAACTAAGTAAGGCAAATAATCAGTCACAGTCCATAGTTTATATTATCGATCGGGGGTGCTGAAGAGAGACTTCCACACGCTGGCTGCTACGCGACATAACGGCCGCTTCGCCAACGCGGGCTGAGCCGCAGGGCAGGAGCCGGGACCTCCCCGACAGGGACGGCTCCTGAGCCCC